CCTAGCTAGTGCCAAGAGCACTAGTACGATGACTAATGACGTCCCTAATATAACAACCTAAATCAAATGGCACTAGTTGTAATAGAGAATAGAAATTCTCCACGTCTATTTTATGAGCAAGTCTAATCTCTTCATACCTGGGAACCCCAGTTCATTATTCATTATCCTCATAATAAACAATGCACGCTTTCAGTGTGCACACATACGGTGAAAAACTCAATACAAGTCAAACATCCACTGACCAGGGGAAAGATCCTAAAGATCAACCCCTAGCTAGTGCCAAGAGTACTAGAAACGATGACTAATGACGTCCCTAATATAACAACCTAAATCAAAAGGCACTAACTGTAATAAATAATAGAAATTCTCAACATCTATTTTATGATCAAGTCTAATCTCTTCATACCTTGGAACCCCACGAAAATCAGCTCACGGTGGACTCACGTCCACCGTGTGCAGTTCATTATTCATTATCCTCGTGATGAACAATGCACGCTTTCAGTGTGCACACATATGGTGAAAAACTCAATACAAGTCAGACATCCACTGACCAGGGAAAAGATCCTAAAGATCAACCCCTAGCTAGTGCCAAGAGCACTAGAACGATGACTAATGACGTCCCTAATATAACAACCTAAATCAAAAGGCTCTAACTGTAATAGAGAATATAAATTGTCAACGTCTATTTTATGATCAAGTCTAATCTCTTCATACCTGGGAACCCCACGAAAACCAGCTCACGGTGGACTCACGTCCACCGTGTGCAGTTCATTATTCATTATCCTCATAATGAACAATGCACGCTTTCAGTGTGCACACATATGCTGAAAAACTCAATACAAGTCAGACATCCACTGACCAGGGAAAAGATCCTAAAGATCAACCCCTAGCTAGTGCCAAGAGCACTAGAACGATGACTAATGACGTCCCTAATATAACAACCTAAATCAAAAGGCTCTAACTGTAATAGAGAATATAAATTGTCAACGTCTATTTTATGATCAAGTCTAATCTCTTCATACCTGGGAACCCCACGAAAACCAGCTCACGGTGGACTCACGTCCACCGTGTGCAGTTCATTATTCATTATCCTCATAATGAACAATGCACGCTTTCAGTGTGCACACATATGCTGAAAAACTCAATACAAGTCAGACATCCACTGACCAGGGAAAAGATCCTAAAGATCAACCCCTAGCTAGTGCCAAGAGCACTAGAACGATGACTAATGACGTCCCTAATATAACAACCTAAATCAAATGGCACTAGTTGGAAGAGAGAATAGAAATTCTCAACGTCTATTTTATGAGCAAGTCTAATCTCTTCATACCTGGGTACCCCACGAAAACCAGCTCACGGTGGACTCACGTCCACCGTGTGCAGTTCATTATTCATTATCCTCATAATGAACAATGCACGCTTTCAGTGTGCACACATATGGTGAAAAACTCAATACAAGTCAAACATCCACTGACCAGGGAAAAGATCCTAAAGATCAACCCCTAGCTAGTGCCAAGAGCACTAGAACGATGACTAATGACGTCCCTAATATAACAACCTAAATCAAATGGCACTAGTTGTAATAGAGAATTGAAATTCTCCACGTCTATTTTATGAGCAAGTCTAATCTCTTCAAACCTTGAAACCCCACGAAAACCAGCTCACGGTGGACTCACGTCCACCGTGTGCAGTTCATTATTCATTATCCTTATAATGAACAATGCACGCTTTCAGTGTGCACACATATGGTGAAAAACTCAATACAAGTCAAACATCCACTGACCAGGGAAAAGATCAAAAAGATCAACCCCTAGCTAGTGCCAAGGGCACTAGAACGATGACTAATGACGTCCCTAATATAACAACCTAAATCAAAAGGCACTAGCTGTAATAGAGAAAAGGAGAATAGCTAGAGAACAGCTGTAATAATCCTTTGATTTGGTTTCACAGGTGAGTTCTTGCAGTCAAGTTTCAAGGTGCTTTGTAGCATTCTAGCCAAAAGTATTGCACAGGTACAATGATTCTCAAGAATTCTTCAAACAAAAACTTTGGAACCAACATCTACATGAAGACGATGTAGTTTTTGAAGCGATTTAACAAAGAGAGGAGATCTCGAATGATTGTTTCAGGCAGTTTTAAAGCGATTTAATACAAAGAGGAGATCTCGAATAATTGTTTCTAGCAACATATCGATCCGAGATGGAGAGTCTTCTTCTACATCAACCAAATTCATGCAGGATATTGATGATGGAGAACCACGTAACAGTCGCCAAGTGCATGAGCATGAAGATGTTGGTAACTCAAGCTTTAGATACTGGGTTGACAACCCAGAATCATGTCTCTCTTCTGGTGAGAATGAGATGGATACGTCAGAAATCGTACCAATTAGTCCTATGACCTGTAAACCTCAACCAGTCGATCTGAGGTTTGAAGGTGCTACGTGGATCGATAGTGAAGAATCTTTGATTGCACAAGAAGGTGCTGACTGATCGAACTGATTGTCGAGCAAACCACGATGCGACCCGAAGAAGACAAGCTCGTAATACATACCGGTGAATGCCATCACGCAAAACTACTACTACACGAAGCGGAAAAAAAATTTCAAAAACCAGGCGGACATTCTCGTGTAAAGAAATAATATCCGCCTTAATATCTGATGAAGCTCAAGAGAAGACTTTTCAATCCTCGGTTTATCGTTTCACCGCGCTTGAAGACATGCTTTACGTCTGGAATTTTTTCGTACCTTCTGTCGTGAGTTGGGTCTCCCCGGAGCCACAGACACGAATAAAATGAGGTTGCAAGTCACTGATTGACGAGCAAACCACGATGCGACCCGAAGAAGACGAGGTCATGATACATACCGGTGAATGCCATCACGCAAAACTACTCCTACTATTCGAAGCGGAAAAAAATTCCAAAAACCAGGCGGACATTCTCGTGCAAAGAAATAATATCCGCCTTAAAATCTGATGAAACTAAAAAGAAGATTTTTCAATCCTCTGTTGATCGTTTCACCGAGCTTGAAGACATGCTTTACGTCTGGAATGACAGCATGCGTCGTGCCAATCTCCCTACTCCGCAAATCTGTCGCCATCGCCAAAGCGAAAAATATTGCATTGAGTTTATCGATTCCGGAAACGAACTTTAAGGCATCCTGGTAATGGCTGAGTCAATTCACAGTGCGCCGAGGGTTGCAAAGATGCTGCTTCACGGAGGGGAGCTGAAGTCAACAAATCCGATCTTGGATTGTTGGAAGTTTTAGAGGACCTCTACGCATTTATTGCCCAATATGACACTGAAAATGTTTACGATATGGACGATACTGGATTGTTTTCGTGCCTACTACCGAGATACAGCCTTCTAATTCCAGATAAGTACATGTCAACCACTAGCGGGAAGAAAAATGTCCAAAAATTGGGTTTCCAAACGCAAGAATCTTCAAAAGTTACGCCAAATGACTATCTATGACATGTTGAATTAAATAAATCTGAACCCTATTTTTCTTGGGAAAATAATACGTATTCCGGGATGCGTACTTAAAAGGGTGCGTACTTGAGCGGAGGCTACTATCTATCTATGTTCTCTTGGTACAAACGTATTCGAAAATGGGTTGGCTAACACTCACCAAGAGAAGGTGATCGTGCCGGGATCAAAAGGAAAATAGAAATCAAAAGCCAAGGCGTGCATATAGAACCAAACATTCCATGCGACCGGATCAAGGGGCCAGTAACAGCCACTACATGGCAGCGTAATCAAACCTCGGGTGCTTCATCAGTGAAGACTGAGGTGCAAGGGTTTCTGCTGGTTGCTGCGCAAGGGTTTAGGGTTGACCTTAACCCTAAACAGAGATGCCAATGGGGCAACTCTGAAAATTCCACTCGGCATTACCCTGGTTGTCAACAGACCCCACTTTGCCTCGAATTAGCCCAAACAAGGCAATTCCAAGAAATATCACGAGAGAACCAAGAAATTATGACCCTGACCCGAACTGGAACGTAAGAACGTGATCCTGGAGAGAACGTGCGATTGTATTATAAGCCTAAGTCTACTCAACTAAGCTTCTCTAAGTTTATCATGGACGGCGATCAAACGTTTGGGACCGTGGAATGTGGATAGTCGTGTTCGATTCACATAATTCGTGCATGCAAATGCCTTCTCGAGTGACATGAGACGAACGATAGATAAGATCCTCATATTTTAAAAGATCCAAAACGAATAGGACATCGACGTAGCGTTACCACATGAGGGTACACAAGCTAGTGACTGCCTCATACATGTCTAATACTCATGTGCTATCTATCCAACATTTGTTCACCACTCACAGTGCGTGGATGGTCACCGGACAAGACGCACATCCGGACAAACAAAAAGCGCGCACACTACCCGCAAATCGTTTGAAGAAGTCATACGATGTGCAGCAGCTTTCAGTCCTTCTGTAGGTTACTGACAATCATATGCCCGCTTCCCTATATATACTTGTATCAGAGCGCAGGATTTCTGAGTACGAGTAGCAAGTATATACTCAAACATCCGAGAGCAGGTGGATAGATGGCTCATCACGGATCGTTGCAAGCAGTCCACAAATATCAACGGCGACATGGAGTCTGTCCTCACGGATAAGACGACCCAGTAGGATCCTAGCTGTTATCCTAGATCTTCACAAGCCATACTTACAATCGTAGAAGTTTGCATTTCAATTGTTTAGAAATACCAAAATGGCTGTTATTCCATAACAAATTATTAATTATATGGTCTAGCCCTACTTAGACAGATCGGTTGCGACAATCGAAACGGTCGCTTTACTTTCTGTAGTCTTTCTGCCAGCAGGCTTAGATATATTCTCTTCTTTTTTTGCACACCGTGGGAATCGAAGTTCCAGACAGACACCACAATATAACCTCCAAAATCTGGACATTAGGGATTAAAAAAGTAAGACGGTCAAACCTTGCTGCCATGAGTTGCAGGAGCAAAGTATTCACCCAGATCGACAAAAATCGTACCTTCCATTTTGGGTATCTCCACAGTAAAGTGTTCTGCGTTAGTATCGGGTTTAAATGCTGGGCAATATACACCACAAACATTTAATTTCGTCAAAGCTCCACTTGTCTCCTTACGTTTTGGAGGGCGGCCCCTCTTCTTTTTGCCTCTTTTCTTCGATCTCGCCTGAATTGTTGATGTGGAACCAACATTCTTCGGTTGACCTACTTGCGGCCTCAGCGCCTGAGATGGAATCTCTAAGGCTGCAACACGCGGAATCTCTAAAGTTTAGATTAGCAAAACGCACCGAAAAAGATGACAGTAACAGAGGACCAGTGGAAATATCGCTCACCACCAACCTTCCCGACCGTACAGATGTTTCAACACACTGTCCACACTGGACCGTAACTTCCAATAAACAGTACGCACCCAGTACGCACCGAGTTAGAAGCGAAGGCGAGCTGAGGAAGAACATCGAAAGAGAAGATGAGAAGGGAAGAACGGGCTCACATGGATAATACGGAGCATTCACACAGAGATATGGCATTTCCGATCAAAGTTTCATATTAGATGGATGTCTCTTAAAGCATCCAAATGGGTTCTCATCAAAATGGGCAGGAAGGCGCAGTAACCTAGAGAGAAGGGTAGATGGAGACGATCCGTATAATGCTCACGATGTGAAGCATCCTCACCTTCTGCATTACGCATCTTAATAAAAGATACTTAAATCTGAGAAGGAAGACTGTGAATTCCCAAAGTCCCAAGCACAGAACTACGATACAAACATCTACACTTTTGGCACCTCACACAGTTCATGTCAAAAGAACGTAAGCCGATAGATATGACGGTAGAATTACTAAGAATAAAGTGAAGCGGGAGAGTAACTATGAGTGCAAATGCATTCGGGAACTCGAAATTTATAAGCATGTCATGTCTATATCGGCACTCGTATTGATGACTAAGGATCCAACGCAGGCTTAGGCGGTAACAAATGACTCAGAAAAGCTACAAACTCCGCAAGGACTCATAGCACAAAGACTTGGCAAGTATCGAATATGTGGCTGTGTGAGACTCCTTGAACGGAAGTAAATTCTTGAATGCATTCAGGTAACTAAACACAGGGTAAACTATCATAGAATACTTTCTGTAAAGCACAAGAAAAGTGAATCTATCTAAAGAAATGTACAAAACTGACAGAATAAAATGAATGAATGGGGAGAGGAATACGAAGCCAAGAAGAAGATGAACAAATACCATAAGAAAGAACGCTTGGAAGGTAAAGTCACAAGTCAAAAAAGCATACAAACGACATCAGTCAACAGTAGCCATGTCAGTTGACTAAGAATTAGTTCAAGGCCCAATGAATTTCAACATCCAGAATCTTCCTTGCCCCAACGCAGTATGACGAAACTGATGAAGCATAAACCAGAACAGGGGCTTTAAGCTATAGAAAACGAGGACCTCACATCGTAGTAAAGACGGGAGCATATCGGCACAGCCAGAAACTGGATCCACAGTCTCCACAATACCTGTGGTGAGGGCATCAGTTCGAGAAGCATCCAACTTATCCAAGGGCTTGTACAAAAGCGAAGTCCCTGGGAAGGCCATAATGTTCAGATCCATAAGTTGCAATCTCTCCGATCCCTCCATGTTCATGAATCCGAAGGCTCCGGTCCATGTCTCCAATAACTCTGGAACGGCAGGTAACACCAACCGCTCAACTCCTACGCTACGCAACATCTGCAAGACAACGTTCTCACAAGTTTGAGCGACTTACACACTAGATCAAAAGACAGTTAAAACAGGACCAACAAGTACTATAAAGAGAAGTCTCCGCATGCCAGAACCTCTTCCAAGGCGCTCATCAGTTTCCGGCACATTCCCTGCCTTCGATAAGCGAATCGAGTCCCAATCAAAGGCATCTCTGCAAGCCTTGCTCCATGGACCCTGCAAGAGAGATCATGAAATTCAATCTTACAGAAGAAAATAATCCACCACAAGTTGCAACAAGGAAACTACTTGCATCACACAAAGGTGTCTCAACATTAGGGCAATATGTGTTACGCGCAAAGTCCATGGAATAAAAGGCGCCACACCTTATGGTGGCAACTGAGATGAGTTCATCTCCTCTTTCGAGCAACATGGTATAAAACCCATGATAGTTGAGTCGACTAACTTCCGATCTGCGAACAAATTTGATAAAACAGATTTAAAACACTTTGTTTGAACTGGTTTTTGAAAGAAAACTAGATTATTGCCCTTGCGTGATAGCAAACGTAGCAATCCGAATCCCCTACGTCTCCTGATAATTAGCTTTTCAAAAAAGATTCAAGCATACGAATACAGACTTCAAATAAATTATAATTTTCAGATATATCGACAAAAGGGCACTTTGAGGTTGACAGAATCAGATGAAGGTCTCCAGGTCGATACAGGCAACCCTTCAATGTGAAGGAAGCTCCAAAGGCAGCACATATAAGTTCCGGAAGTCGAGAGAAGGCGGCAGCAGGGCCTCCGAGTGACTCATTATGACCTGAGTACTCTCTCGCTCTCTCTCCATCTCGCCAACAAATTAACACTCGCCCTATCAAATCGATGAAAAATAATAGCACTCTTTACTTACCCGCGATTATATAACACATGGGAGATGATGTCAATTTTGGTGCGCGGATCAATCATAGGGCGAAAGCACTCCTGCATAACGCTCAAAGCAATGGAGAGCTTGCTATCGTGCTCGGCATTCAATTCTGTGTTCGAGATACAACCGGATTTACGATCATCTTCAGCCCGCGATCTCAACAAGGTCCATGAAAACCCTCCCTCCATTGGTTTGGAAACGCCGACAAGTCCTCGCAAACCTCGGAAGATCTTTAAAGTCAGAAGGAAGACATAGATTGATCAGTAAAGTTCGTCAATCAACTTGCTTTGATCTTACCTCCCAACTTCTCATGATTCCAGCCAAACGATCTAAGACACAGCTTTCTCAATATGAAGAAGGTAGGGAATTGCAGCAAATGTTAACATACGCACCCTTCCACAACTTTCTCCACAGAACCAATCTTCCTTGGGACAACAGTCCAATTCGATACCTCGTGATCGTAAACACTTCACATGATCTGCGGGTGTGATGAGAGCACGCGAACGGAAAATTGAGGGGGAGTTGCCTTAGAAACTCACGAAGTAGAACTAAGATTAGAAATAATGACACAATAGAGTCTCTACGATATACATACAAACATCGGACACTCACAATTTGACTTTAGAGATGTTAAAGTAAGTGCAGGTTAGAGATCTGATAGTAAACTCACATTCACATTCGCACTGATCACAGAATATCACAGTCAAGTCGTTGAAAGAAGATTTATCTCCATTGAACTGGCTACCGCCACAAATCGCACAACGACAATTCGGACAGAACCAGTCTCCATCCGGGACGGCCTTCGACCACACAAGAAAGTCCGTCAGGCCAGTCTGATACAAGATCCATAAAATTGCAGAGCTAGTCTTCGTCCTTATAAAGTCTTGGGATTCAACAAATTTATATTTGTTGAATCCCAAGACTAATTTTTAACTGGAAAACAAAAAACACAAATGTCTACGAACAGGCGTGGTCCCAAGAGCAAGTAAGAGTGTTTACTAAGCGCCAGCACCATGCTCATGGTTGAGAAGAAGCTCATCTAGAAAACTGAATCTACAAAGAAGGAGGATTGACGCATTAATAGCAGAAGTCTCTTGAAAGTTGAACATGCATAATACATGTTTATCTGAAGGTAGGGACAGAACTAACTCTGCACGGCGCTGAGATGATATTCTGAACGTAATGATATTATCCGGTTCAGTTTAGTCATAATAAACCAAAACAGAAGTGTTTCTTAGTTGGTCAAATCAAGCTCAACACAAATCGAAACTGTGATCGAGCACAGGGAGGAGGGTGAACCGAAGTAAGATCCAAATTGTTAAGCACGGGTAAAAGGGCTCTTTGGCAAAGTGTAACATGCAGAAAACATGTTACATTGTTCAGAATGGTGAAGACAAGCATGTTAAGCGTGTCCAAGGGGACCCCACACGGTCATCGGACGCTCGTGTGAGCAACTTTCCAGACCAGATTCATATTTGGTTCTCTATGTCTTCTTGTTGGAGTGGGAATGTCCAAATTGCGACTAGGACTTTACAGTGTACGCATGTACCACCATTCAACAACAAATGTACATCTTACAAAATCAGCGGAAGTTGAAGGAACAGAGCTGTTTGAGAGCGCAGATGTAGGTTACCACCATTTCTAGTTAACGCATAGAACATGACGGGGGATGTGTTATCTGGCAATTTGGAGCCAAGTATAATAAACATGATCATTTATTGTAAAAGTTACATAACGGATATACTGGAAGTAGACATAATCGCGCATTCCCCCTGCGCAAACTGATCACTGTGGATTTTACAGAGGTCTCGCTTACCATACCACGGAAAGAATCCTGCAAAAGAGAACATCTGTCTGTTGTCTGAAATGAATGCGAACCACAACGGGAGTTCCAAATTACAGGAGGTAAGACCAAAAATGAAGGAAAGATTACCTCCATTCCCATGCAGTTCAGATGAAATGTGGACGGACAATGATCGCAGCAGATTAGCTCCCCGCCATCACCGCAAATGCCACAAGTGTCATCACTCTTGTCAGCGGATTCCTGATTCCCAGACGCCTTTTCTGGATCACCTTCGATTTCAGTCTTCTTCGCAAGGGCCTCAACCTGACATTCTGATAAGGACTTACCGTTGCTCAAAAAGATATTCGCACTCGGTCTATGCAATTTACTGCCTGCATGGGCTTCGAAAACAGAGAGTGTGACGGTGGTTCCACAACAATCACACCGTATACCGTCCCTGGTCACATAGCCCTCTAACATGCAGTGGTTATCCTTTCTATTCAAGTAACGCACTTTTTCATTCTCTTCCACCATCCCATTATCGATGAGCCATGAAAGTAAAGTCCGCTTCCTCAGTAAAGTGTCACCCTCTGCAGTGGTGTCAGACTTGGTGAGAGGGGCAGCCAGAAGTACTTCCAATCGGACACCTGGTCGGGCGAGTGCTCGGCTCTTCTTGCTCTTTTTGGCACTCTTCTTGACCTGCTTGAAGTCTTGACCGATGCTCTTTTTGGTCTGCTTGAAATCAAATGCTCTGTGTGGGCTAAACGGCTTCTTACGCTGCTTACCGTCCACCTGCTGAGTATTTTGCAGACTTTCCTGCAGAGTGACCAAACTCTTCCTGCTTTTTCCTTCAGGGGTACTAACCAGATCGGTGAAAATTGCTCTGCTCTTCTTGCTTCTAGGTTCCTCCAAAAGCATCCTGCCGTCGGCGTTTAAAGCACTCGAATCCTGTAAAATTTCCTCGGCAGTACAGACTCTCTTCTTGGAGGTAAGGGCTACAATGTTGACGTCGGTCATATTGTCATCACGTCCCGTCAGCATGTGACGCGGTGGGAATTCATTACCGGCCGATAAGTGTCCCCACAAGAAGCCATACTCCGATGTCTGCCCCTTCTCTACAAGAACCTGGCTCTCAATCCACGGCGACTTACTCTGTTCATGTGTGCTGATATTTAATTTCCTCCGCTTTTGTTCGCCGGGGACCATTTGGTCGTCCAACTCCACCTCAACCTCTGATGCACTTCTCTTCGACTTCGCATTCTCGTAGGAGTCTCTGTTGTCTATGGTCCTCATGTCCGAAATCCTGTCCGAGCAGCCACCTGTAAGGGGAGACAATGGCTTCTTCATCTTGCCGTTCTTGGGTGCCACCGATTGCTGAGAAACCTCTCGAACTTTCCGGTCTCGCCTAAGTGAGTTTTCCAGCTTCAAATCGTTCAAAGTAGGATTCTCGTCTTCACGCGTACTCCCCTTTTGGAATTTCTTCCAATGTTTTAAGGCCGACTGTATTGAGCCCAGTAAAGTGCCGCCTGGTGCCCTATAGTACCACTGAGCCTTACCAGTTTTACGATAATTTTTTGTAACATTCCACCCGGATTCCGAAAGGAGCTCCCGGGCGGCATCTTCATCCAGATCCATCAAGTCACACTCGTCGTCCATGGCTATGTTCCTCTTGACATTCACTAGACCGTTTCCTGCTTTCTTGCAGGACGCCTTCCCTGCTGTGCTAGTATCGGGAACAGCGAGTGGTCTGCTCAAGTTTACTCTCAAGCTACTCATTTCGGCTACTGGAAGGGCTCCCTCGGAGCATGATAAATCCTGCGTCTCATTTTCCATTCCACCTGAGCCACCACTCTGTACAGTAATTCCCTTCTCCTCGTCTATGAGCACGCCAAGTACCTCATTCCTCTCTAATTCCAGACTTCCCAAAACCCCTTCTGAAGGTTCTCCATCGTTACCAGACACCTGATGCACGACATTTTCCTCGCGCACCTCGCTAGAGGAAGACGCAGTACTCGTCGAAGAATTCAACGCAACAGACTCCTTCAACGTCCCCCGCCTGCGTTTAGGTTTCTCCACGTAATTGTCCGGAGACGTCTTATCTAAACTATTCCATGCCGAGGTATACTCGGAAACACGCTCAGAACAACCGCTTGCATCTATAGGAAGTGATATTGCAAGTTCCATATCCCGTGGTGAGGTTTTTCGGCCCCTAGATTCTCGACCTAGAGACATAGTCCTAACGCGCTTTTCAATCTTAGGAACTGCCACATCGGAATACCCTCTGGGTATCCATTTACACAAGTCCTCGTCCCAGTCCTGTGCAATTCTCATGTCCTTTAAAGACATAGTCTCATGATCCTCTTCTTCCGGAAAATACACAGGGGCGCGCTTTTGCTTCCTCGAGCCACAAACATCTTCCTCGAGAATCCCTTCCCACCACGCATCATTGTGACGAACGTCGACCCATAACCCAGATTTCCAGGTAAGTTCGGTAGCATCCGGAGTAGAAGGTGGCAGTGGCCTAATGAGAGCGCGAAGCCGGTTGGGAGGAGACTTCAAAGATGACCGCGAAGGACCTCTAACTCCATCCACCCCTCTACCTACAGGTATGATCTCAGTAAGTTTCCTGCGACGGTCTTCGGTCAAAAGCTCGTCATACTCTACCACCCTCTTCCCATGCTTGACGCCAACGACCACGGCCGGGAACCAGGATCCTCGTAACCCTTTCTCTCTCTGCCTCACCTGCAAATGCCAAAAACATGCCGCATTGGCCTATGAATCTTCCCTTCGGTGCTCCGTAAGGTTTCAAAGCATGTCACAGAACCCTAAACAGCAGCACGCATAACGTCAAACCAACCAAGCAAATCAATATTCGAATAATTGCTCCAAACTCGCTATGCGTAACGCACGATGAAGGGCACGGGAGCGGTTTTCACTTTTATCGCAACTGAAAACCTGCTTCCACAATCGCATCTCGGTTGGATCGCCCTTCACTGCTAACCACGAAAAAAAGGAGAAAAGAGACCAAAGGTAAACAGTCCGTCGCAATTCCGTAGGCCAAACCAGAAACTAAGACCTAATCATGTATTTATTTTATCAGGAGCCGCAGTGAAGTAAGGATGATCATTATGCAATAAAAGATAACTCACTCAAGGCCAATCCCATTCCAAACATGAACAAGACGCCGATATAATAATTCAGTCGAAACCGAAAATTGGCATGCCATTGGCAACCGACCAATTCAAACCGGAAATCAACGAAGAAGACAAGCCATCAAGTGCGTGAAATCAACACGGGCCAATTGATACAACCTCCACGCGGTCTCCCACCAGATACTTCTTCACACCAGCATGACCCTCGGCCGACAGAGTGATACTCTCCATCTCAGTATCCTCTCCACTCCCACCACTCGGAGTAATCTTCGACTCGCGCATATCCTAATTCCTCCTCCTCCGTCGCCGCTCCCGCCTGCTCATTGAGCCCTCTTGCAAGCCCTTCTCCTTCTACGCATCCCGCTTCGGAGCCCCCAATCTCTCTATCTCCCCCGGCCTAGTAAAGCATCCACTCCCGCCACTCAGAATTCTTCAACTCGCGAATATCCCTAGTCCGTCTTCCTCCCTGTTCCCGCCTGCTCATGAATCCCGCTTTCAGGCCCTAATCCGTCGAAGCATCCCACTTCGACACCCCAATCTCTCGACCTCATCCGACCTCGTAAAATCCACTCCCGCCACTCGCGCAAATCTTCAACACGCTCATATCCCTAGACCTTCCTCCTCCGTCGCAGTGCCCTCCTGCTCATGGATCCCTCGTTCGGGCCCTCCTCCGTTGACGCATCCCACGCAACCCCAATCTCACTATCGCCCCGACCTCGTTAACATGCTCTGCGACCTCCTGCTGGCATGAACATTCCGCAAAAGCCCCACAGAGTCAAAAGCGCTCTGGAGCTCCCAGCGTCGTCGCCTGCAGAGCGAGAAAGCGCATGCCCCACTGCCTCCCCTGCTACCACCCTCAGCCCTCAGTCCTTTCCTCGAACACCGCTCGACGCAGGCAGCGGGACCACTCTTCTTCTGACTTCTCCTTCTCCCTTTCCCCCATTCCTTCGATCCCAGCTCCCGGCTCCCCGCTGAGTCCGCTCCACTTCCCTCCCAGCTCTCCGCGCCTTTGCTCAACCCGCTAGTTCCCACGGCTACTGCCCCGCACCCTAACTCTTATCGGTCACCCACTACGGTTACTTTCTGACAGCGATCTGCAGTGGCGCGACATTCCCCCAGCGTCCACCTAACTGGGGTCTGGGCGAGTTAGCTTGAAAGTTAGCTCCACCATCCTCCAACTAGCACCAACCGTCCATTCGAACCGATCGTGCGGTGCTCCCGGCGCTCCAACTTGTAGGTGTAACATCAGCTCAAATTCCGCCAAGGAGTCCGGGGTCGCTGGACAATTCCATTTCAATTCCGGCCGTCCATTTGGCGGATCGCACATGTTTGCCTCCAACTTCACCATCGAGGTTCGGAATCCCTCCACGGCGTCATTTTCAAGTCCGATTTTCCCAATATTATCTTTCCATTTTGGGACATAGTACGGTCCTGTAACAGGCAGGTACCACATTTGGGTCAGACTTCTCTATCAAGCTCGGCTATAGGTGTCCGGTCTACCGCATTTGGTAAATCTTACGGTTAAGAGACTTGCGACGCCCAACGTAGCTCCCTCTTCGTTATCAGACTAGTGTAACCTATTACATAAGATGCAAAAAGATGGAATACCATAATTCAAGCCTGACAAATAGTCTAAATAACATAAGCACTAAGAGCATATCGGAAAAGCTGGGAATACCCCGTCAACCTCGCTACAACCAGAACCTACCCACGATAGCATCACAGCGATAGTTGTCTTGTAGCATCTACACATGCTAAATGAGCTGTACACATTGTAATAACGTCTTCAAAATCAAATTAGTTTTTGGTGTTAAGTATTTAACAACGAGTATACCATTGTTTATTACGCTTGGAGCTTTAAGAAAAAGACTCATGTTATAGATTGTATCACTCAATTACAAATATAATTACTTGCTATACTTTTTCCCAAGAGATGATTATTTTTTGAATAAAATGAAAGTAATTTTTTCTCATCTCAAATTATAAACGAATTACTTTCCATTCATCGAAGAATAAATTTTTATCTAAAAAAAGTGAAAGCATGAACATATTTTTTATTTTTTAGATCGAATCATACTTCAACAAAAATGAAAATTTTTTTCATAAAATAATCCCAAAAGTACAGAAAAATTTAAATGTTTCTGAATTTTATATAATTATTATAAATAAAATATAAAATCATGATTCCAAGATTTGAGATTTTTTTTAAAAAAAATTATGGCACTTAATTTAAGATTTTTTGTGATTTTACAATGCAATTGATTTGGAAAAGTCAATATCACGTGTATGGTATTTTGAGAAAAATACTAAATTTTAACCAAAAAATAGATGAGATTTTATAACAAATTTATACAAGAGATTTCAAAATTTTAACTTGAATTGCAGTTTTGCAATGTAGATTATGCACTATGTATCTGAAAAACATTCTAAAAAATCAATATATCGACTACATTATCCATAACATGTTTACATCTCATAAACTTGAATTTCAGTCTAAGACAAATCAAGAAAAAATAGAAAAATTATATATCTTCTATTAAACAAATATGTTTCAGTGTAGCTCTTTTGAGCGAATTAATATTATAGGAATAGTTTTTAAAGAAGGAAATAAATTTTATTTACACGGTATAATAATCAAATTCTAACATTATGTTTTGTTCTATAAACTTTTTAATCAAAGCAGAATGCATTTTCTTAAAATCCCAAAAAATGAATATGTTTCTAATGTATAAGAAAATTCACACAACCTAACAGCAATTTGAAATTTAACTTGCATTAAAGGAATTTATTTAAGAATTTTACAGAAACTAATAAAAAATAATGGATCATCATTAATTGATAAACATATTTCATATACATGTTGAGTATTCAACGAGCTATTCGCTAATCAAATTAACAATAAAAAACTTGTAATTATTTTTCATATCAAAATTGTAATGTAAAACATCATGACAAATTTATAGTGCAAAATTTAGTGCTTAAATAATACAATGATTATTTTTCATTTGAATTTGTGAATAAAAAATAACCTAGCATCTGAAATATAATATTAAATTCATAAAGTTATATTTTTTATGATATTTAATAAATTGAAATTGAAAAAAGAGTCTATTTTGTTAAACTATGCAATTCATTTTAATTCAAAAATAGTTTTATTAATTTTTTATAAAATCAAAAATCAATTCATTCATTGACATATGACTCATATAATCCCACAGGCAATACTTTAATCATGGGAAAAAAAATTGCAACAAATACTGAGTATTTAAATTTTTAAAAATGAACATATTTTTTAAAAACTCACCTTTTTTTCATTTTTATCAAAGATTTATGCAAGAACATTGATTTTTGTCATTAAATCTCAGCATGATTATGATTGATAATATATATAAATTAACAAAATTTTATATTATTTTAAAAAATTTTAATTTTAATAACTTGATAATATTTTATTCTTATCATCTAGATTGTTCAATGCATCTCATTTACTTGTTATGTTTTGTGGAAAAGATTACAAAGATTATTATTTTTTAACATACCTGCAAATTTAAACTTAATTTTTTCATATTGGCTATACAAATTTAGCAATTGTCATTTAGATAATTATTTCATTATCTCATCTTTTGAAATAAATTTACACAAAAATGTGTCACTTGACATCAAATTTTCACACTTCATAATTTGAAAATTGAAAATAACTAATTGCAAGAAAATCATCTTGTTTAATGTGATAAAATCTATGCATTAAGTTTACTAGTTAAACCAAGAATATAAATTTATTATCATGATATATCCCAAAACTATCAATGTTTCAATGTAAATATGACTTCAATTGGATAATATAATAAGTTTGATTGATTGTATATATATATATACTACTCACTATGTTGATTACTTACAATAATTTAATTTCAGAATGTAGAATTAGTAGACAAATCTCACATATGCATGTTCTTTAATCTAAGTAAAAAGAAAAACTGCATATTTAAGTTCTGTTGAATTATTTGAATAAAAATTATAAATTATTTTATTAAACTTTCAAAAATAAAAATTAAAAAATATTTTATTCAAGTATTATATTAAAGCAGGCATCATTAATTTTGGAATAAGATATAATATTTAATTACAACTCGTAAAATTTTACGAAATATAATAGATTTTATTCATTTTATATTTTAAATAATTAAAATTTAACATAATTATAACATAACTATAGATTCTTTTTGAATTAAAAATGTCTCATGTCACTAAGACATACGACCTATAAATGAACATTTAGGAATTCGGTTTATGATTTTCGGTAGTTTTTTAGAGCTGCATATTTGTTCTTTGAACTACTAAATTATTAACTATTTGTAGTATATTTGTTGGAAATCTACAAAGAAAAAAAGAATTTCTAACCAACAAAATATAAAAATTTAATACACTGTAAAAAAATAAAATCTCAAATTTAAAACATGTGTATGGTAGATTTAATTATTATCTTTTGGTTTTTAAGACTTCAAGAATATTAGTTTTTTGGAAGTATAGTTTCAATATTTTGTTATTCTCATTTGTATGTACACCTATACAAACTTTTTCGAGTGAAATCATTGTATTGAAGAGCTATTGCAATGATGTTACTCTGTAGTATTTTCATATCAATTCTTAGCTTAAAATAAATTCAATTTTACATGAATGCAATATAAATTTCATAAATATCAGATCAAATAAAACCAACACAAAGAATTGATTGCTTCATGGATACAATTACATCTTGTACATAATTTTGATGATAGAGTCATATGTAAAAGTTGAAAATTGTAACTGATATATTATAGACATGTCAAATGTATTACAATAATAATGATAATTTAACATTAAGTTATTTTCTTTGTTCTTTAAACGAAAATAAGATAATTTTTTTCTCATGAAAATAATTTCCATAAATCATTATCAACATTTATAAATCTAAAAGACAAAATTAAATCTTTCAGCATTCTCATATATAAATTTCAATTCTATGACTATTTTGACTTGAAATAAAAATTATTATTTTTTATTTCAATATTAAAAAATACTGAAAAGATTCTTGTTTGTAACAAATTAGCAGAGTTATGATAGTTTTGTTTTTATATTTTTATTACAAAATATACATATGATTTAGTATATCTATGTGAAATAATTCATGAGAAAATATTAAACGTTTTATTCAACCATTAGTATGTTATTTAAAATGTCAGAAATGTACTTAGTATTTTAAAATTAATGGTTTGTGTGTAAAGCGAATTTATACAATGACATTGATACCAACTTATAATTAAACTTATTAAACAAGAATAAAACTGATAAAAAACTCAAATTAGAAATATAACTTTAATTCAATAGATGAATTTGACTATGATGTAACGTTTTGAAAATGAAATATATAAAACAATAATGTTCAACAGTATACGCGTTAATTTGATATAATTTTAATCAACATTCAAAAATAAATAATAAATAATAATAATAATAATAATAAAAATTATAATACACATTTTTTGTAAAAATTCTATAATCAATGAGCCGGGAGAATCAATATGATAATAACATCCAGTTTTGTATTGATCCTTTTTTTTTGAATTCACACTGAAATTGAATTTATTGTTTGGAAACATGGATTAGATTTCTTACTTTAATTGGGTACTTGTAAAGTTTAATTTTTTTTAAATGACATGAAATTTATATAATAAGCATGTACTGATTTTTATTTAATATTCTTATTTAATCTCTTGTCAAGAAATATATTAATTCATATATTTTCATATTCTGTTGACTCTTTTTTAAAAAAACATTCATTCATTTATTGCTGTTATATTCTTTGAATCTATAGTGTTTATGTTTGTGTGTTATGATTTTTTTTAAAAAATTATTTTGAAATATTTTATAGATATTCAAAAAAATAAATTTTAGCAATGGTTTATGATGCATTGATCCATCTTCTATTATTCATATATTATATATATTAATATATATTTCTTGAAAATTTGATGAATGAAATAATTATGTGTAGTTAGAAATAAAATAATAATCATATTTGCTGATTTTGTTTCAAATTTTTTAGTTTTTTCTTATAATTTTTTAGCCATATAGATTAAGGAAATATTTATCACTTGAAGATGAAACATATAGTCTAATGATGAAAGATAATTGAAATGACTATGAATAGTTTTATAGTGTGATCTAATAAATAAATAAATAATCTTATCTAAATTATATTAACCTATATATAAATAACCTATAAATTATATTAACAATATTGAATATTGAAAAAAGAACCGCAATAATGTTTCAATAAGTAAGGTTCAATAAGTTTCAAGAATTGAGTTTCTAAAATGAGAATTTCTAAAATATATATTTTTAGCTAAGTGTAAATATTTTTATAATAATTAATTTTATTTTCTTCATGTCTAAAACGCGTAAATCAATTTTCAAACATCATTTTGGCAAATTTGCAAAATAAGAGATCACTTTTTAATCAAAAAATGTTTTCTAGATTGTATAAATGAAAAATTAATTTTTTTTCACTATTTAATTTATTCATTAATGACATTAAAAATTCATAAATTTTACTTTTTGAAATTCATGTAATCTTAGAAACATGATTGCATAATGACAAGTTGATTCTCTCCAAAAAAAATCTGAAGACAAATCAGTTATTATCGTTGACGTCATTCAGTATCTTAATCTGTTCCTTTTGTTTATTATCTTTCTATCAACGCTTTCAACATACCTGTTTTCTTGAATTTCATTATCTTGTTTTACAATGTTAGTTGATGATGATCGAATTGTATTCAATCTCAATATTCTTGATTTATTTTCATGTTATTTTTTTGCAAAATTTGAGTTAGTTTAACATGAAGTAATAGTTCTGTATATTTCTGTCATTTAATACAAATCTGTTCGTGGTACTTTTCACCCCATGTGACCGCTATGTTTTAGATTACATTAATATCTAAAAGTCCATTTTAATTTTATAATAGTTGTAATCCATGAGGTTAAAATTTTGAGGTAAGGCAAGTTTTGTTGCTATTAATTTACATAATTTTTGAAATACTACTTTCTTCAATAACTATTTTCGTAATTATGATTAAAAAAATAGTTTACGGATTTCTTTGGTAATAGCTGTAATAAATCTTTACGCATTCTAACTATTGCTCTTTCATTTTGAAAACTGATTTCTTTCAAAATAAAATTACGACTCTTGGAGCCATACATACACAATTAATAAAAATGGTCAAATCATGATCCCCTTGTCGCTTTTCAATGAGCACTTACTCAGATCATGGTTTGAAAAATCTCTTGCGTATCAAGGACTGAAATTAATCATGTAATTATAAGTTAATGGTGATTATGTGAGAAATGTGACATTTGATTTTATTAATGTCAAATGAAAGCTTGATTCTCAGATCCTCACTTTGTTTTGCAACTAGAATCGATTCTGTTTGAGAATTTATAAATTTTATTACCATTAACTTTTATTGATAAAATTTCTTCAAAGAATTTGATATCAACTTGATAATAATCTTAACATTACGACTAGATGTATATTTCGAACATAGAATATGTCATTTATGACATCATAAGTTGTGTGTTTATTGTTACAAATGAAGAGCGGGAATAGATTACATGAAGAAAGCGGTACAAAAGTTCGCGTAAAAAAGCTACATGGATATAGAAAATTTGTTATTTGATGTGTGAATGGAGCAAGATATAAGGATATCCATTTTTTAATTTGAGTCATTATTAAATACTAATTGAATAAATATACGTTGATTTATACATCAATGCACATGGTATAAAAATCAATTGAGTTGATTGTATAAAAAGTAAATACAAGATGATAAATATATCTTACATAATTCATCTGGGTGCGATCAATTGCGTAAATATCTTATCTTCATTAGTTAATATTTACTAGAAAATTTTAATCCAATATGAAATTGATTTTCTCATGCAATAATGCGACAGAACTACCACATTTACTTCCTTCTTAGTACGTTGACTTTGGATTTCAGTAATGTCCGTAATCATTGCTGGGAATCCAAGTCAGCAGTCAATCTCCAAAGTTGAGTTCTGGTCGGCACCGACAATAATTTCCACTTCCTTGCCACATCTAAATACAGAAGTTGATGCTCATTCACCAATCTGCTCCTGAGATGCTCCAGATGCTCATCGAGTACGGCGTCCAGGCTCTGAGCACTGCTGTTCGTGTCGGGATCCACATGAAACACTGTACTGGGAAGCCGGTTCGATTTCCGCCCATGTTTCAGGTCTAATCTGAGTACTCAGGCCTGGTTCTGAGTACTCTTACGTGTATACCTCAGCCAAAAGCTGTCGAAGTGCCGCAAAATATCGCCACTTTGCATTTAATCCTCGCATTTATCTTCGCTCTACAATGAGTCACATTCTGGTGGCAGAATCATGAGACGATCGGAATCGTCATTCCTTGCGCCACGCAAGGCGCCGTCAGATGCGAACACCAGCATGAGCCTGGGATACAAGATGATAACGCGCGTCCGTACACTGTCGCTCTGTACGAGTACCGGCAAAAGATGCAGGTCTTCATCTACTATTTGCTTCTCTCGAGAGTGGGACCGATTTTCGCATGTCGAGGTGAGCGACGTCAGCATGCAACTGAGCACGTTTGCAACGAGGCGGCATCGATGGAGTGCATGACGTCCTCTGAGCCAGTCGCAAGTCTCGATACAGGATGAATAAGTGCGAACGTCGCAGGCTCCGTGACGAGAGTCGTCATATCATCCATGGTGGCGGATCATTGTCACAGATAAGTAACGCCGGGCAACTCGCTGAGCCCTCGGCTCCTCTCTCGATCAATCAACGAGATGGGGTCGGACGCAGCTCTGAAAGAAGCTCTCCTAACTGACACAGAGAGCGGCGATGCGCAGCACCGAAATTCAGGCGCACCATGTGATGGAGAAGCCGGAATGAATGCTGGAGACGACTCGATCAAGTTTGGAACATCCGATGTGGGAAAAGAATTTGGATCGGACGTTTTGATCGAGATAAAGATTACTTCCAAGCTTGCTTGGCCTCTAATCTTATTCAATGTAGTGTTTTTTTCAATTCCAGTCGCCACGCTCATGTTCGTCGGTCACCTCGGTGAGCTAGAGCTGTCGAGTGCGTCCATAGCGAGCTCCTTCGGGATGGTCACGGCTTTCACTGTCATGGTAAGCAGACAAACAGAATTTGCCGCTGAATCCTCGAGAGATTTGGTTGAATTAGGTCTTCAATGATGGCAGTCTAATCATGTCGTCGTCACTTCTGCCTGTGGAATGAAGCTTGGACTGGCGAGTACACTGGAGACTTTATGTGGGCAAGCGTATGGGGCTAAAAACTACCGCATGCTGGGTGTATACTTGCAAAGCTCATACATCGTGTGCACCGGGGCTGCCTTTTTGATACTGGCGTTGTGGATGAATGTGGCTGCGATTCTTAAAGCGATGGGACAAGATCCAGAAATCGCTAGACTCGCGGAACGTTATTTGATGTACATGAGTCCAGGGGTCTTCGGCGCCGGCATTCTCCGACCGACAGTGAAGTTTCTGCAGTCGCAGTCCGTTGTTATGCCTGTCCTGCTGTGTTCTTTCGTGGCGTTTGCGTTTCACATCCCTTGTTGCTACATCATGATCCACGTACTAGAATTTGGGTTCATCGGTGGAGCCGTGTCCAACGCTATAACTTATCAGTTTTTGACGGTCCTCGTATTTTTATACTCCTGGCTCTCGGGTTCCTGCAAACACACGCTGACGGGTTTCACATGGGAAGCCTTCAGCTACCTGGATGTCTACTTGAAGCTCGCCATTCCCTCCACTTTCATGTTATGGTACGAGGTGGCCCTTCCCCTCTTCTCCTTCCACTCGTTTGTGCGTTTCACAAGACAAGAGGATGGTTGTAATGAGCAGGACGCTTCGGAGAGTACGCTTCCGCTAATAAGTAGTGTGGATGAGTTTGGTTGTTGTCACGATTCCTGAATGAAAATTTTCCAAGTCCATATTCTCTATCTACAAAACGACTCCGCACGATGTTCTGCTCAAACTTGAATTTGCTGATGACGGTAATGACGACTGTTGTATCTTCGTACAGCCTGGAATTCTGGACGGCGGAAATTCTTGTACTAGCCTCGGGGCTTTTGCCAAATCCGCAACTTCAGCTGTCGCTGCTATCTATCAGGCAAGTACACGCACATCTCCCGGATTTCTCCATGAATGACATACTTCTTTGTCCGCTATTGTAGTATTGAGGTGATGAGAAATCTCGTTTGATTAGCTTTTGCTCAAGTCTGATCAGTCTAACACGTGTTTTCATTGCCACCGTAGTTTGAGCACGACCAACTTAGCTTCGATGATTCCCAACGGACTCAGTGGAGCTGCCGGGTGCGTGCATTCTTATCGTTTCTGTTTGATTCGAAACCTTCATTATGTTGACTGCGAATGTAATAGCTTAATGTAATAGGTCTTACCAAAGTTTTAGCTGGTTAACTATACCTTGGATTGATGTATCTTCAATCTTGATTTGTGTATCCATCTCAAGCGGAATCTTGAATACTTTTCCAATGGTGCATTTCAATGCATTGCGTTTTACATGTATTCTAAACGCATAGAGGGAAACTTACTATTAGCTCAGCAGAGTCTGAACAACAGATGGGTCACGTAAGCGTGCATGCGGATCTCGTCCTGAACAAATTTTGGCCGTCAACTGTAGGTTCTCGACTGGGGTCCCCTTGAATGTTGATGAATTTCCGTTTCAGCTGACACTACTAATTGTCGCGCTCAATGGGGTTGCACTCCAAGAGTCTGGTGTTATTAGGACATAGTTGGTCTTTACAGGGATACATGTCAGGAGCTGGTGAGTCGAAAATTCTGATTCGGCAGTTTACATGACAGTAGGAATGGGCGGATTTTTACTGTATGTCACACGGTGTTTTGACACGTGAGGCATGTCTAATTTCTTCAGGATGTCCGATTTTACGGAGGAAAATGGATAGAACCTGAAGAGTTCCGACGATGACATATTCTAGTTGTGAATTGCGTTGTTATTTGGAAGATGTTAACCTTTTTCGTATCCCAGCGATCCTGACAGAAACAATCCACTTTTCCAAAACTGAATTGCAGTACGAGGGTGGCCAACGAGCTCGGAGCATATCGTCCTCAGGCAGCTAAATTGGCTGGAAAAGTGATTATGACGATATCCGTGGTTTCGACGTGCATCGTTGCTGGTTGCATCCTCGTCTTCAGAGATGTGTGGGGCAAAGCATTTTCCAACGTGGATGAAGTTTTGCAAAGCGTGAGACATCTGACGCCACTCATAGCTCTAGCAGCCTTCATGGACGGGATTCAAGGAGTGCTTTCAGGTGAAGCATCTGACATTCTCCTCGAAGAATGTAATTCCACCATGCATTGCTGTCTGTTATGGATTAGTATATTGTTTCCTGGTCCCTAACTTTTTTTGTACGGGCCGAGCTGTTGTGAAGGTATCGCGAGGGGATGTGGCAGACAGGATATGGGTGCATTCATCAACTTGACAGCGTACTACATCTTCGGAATCCCCTCAGGATTTTACTTGGGATTTAGTCGGGGCATAGGTGCAGAGGTATGCAGCTCATATGTTTTCATTAGGCTGGTTTTGGTGGCGGGGCTCAGATTTTCATCTTAGTCTGCAGCCAGACTGCACCCTTTGTTACTGCCAAAACTACAGGAACGTGGTCACGAGTCGAATGGAGTGGGGTAGATCGCTCGTGGCGTTAGAGTTAATGTCGTAACCTGCATTAGAAGAGATCATGAAAGCGGTGGCTGCGTAGAAGCTATCCAGATTACTGCATTTATACTCGTCGGTTGTGGAAGTTCGCATACCTGAACATGACTACTAATCTCGTGTGGGCTTGGGCAGGGTCTGTGGATTGGACTTTTAATCGGAGATCTGGTCCAGACTGTGCTTCTGGCGACACTGGTTCTCACCACAAACTGGGATAAAATGGTTTGTAGCTACTCACATTGGCGTACTTTTCATGTGTAACCGATGTCTTCTTGAAGAGTATCATCCTCACGGAAGGATTTGCATACCTGTTGTTCCTAACAATACCTCCATATTGAACTCCTTCAACTGTCATTGGCTTGTGCATGGCATGACAGGCTGATGATGCTGTGAGAAGGGTAGCTTGCAAGACTGCACTGCCGGAATATGTGGAGGATCAGCAGGTAAAGCAAGTACACCGGATTTCGAGTATTGTGACGGTATTTGAGTGGAAAATACCTTGAAAACTTACAATAAAAAACTTGTAGTTCACTGAAAAGTCAAAGATACTAGCTGAGACAAAATTTGGTTGTTGTTGTTGCCTGCAGAGTCTGGTGGTCGAACAGCATCACTAGCCATGAGAAGGTTGCTGCCATCAAACAGTAGGTGGTGAGTCTACTAGAACAAAACTCCGAACGTAAAATTTTTCAGAGTTACACAGTGCTTAAACGTTACTGGAGGACCCCAAGCATCAGTTGAAGCTTATGGAAGAACAATTGTTCTTCCATAAGGAAAGAAGGCACACCTTTTTTGCTAACAACAGCTCATCTAACAAGAATGTGCCAATTTTTGTCCACGGTCTCTCCAAATGAGAAACTTTAACACATACAATTCTCCGTTGCTCGTAAGGAAGCGTTTATGAGCGGTGATTAGGAAGTGAAAACTGTTTGGACAGAATCATTTTAGAATTTGGTTAGCAGATGAGCGTATGTCTTGACTGTGCAAAATTCTTTTCGTTTGTTTAATAAGGTACTGAACTCCGTGGGTCTTTGTGAAATGAGGAACTAAAGAAATAAATGTGATGAGTCTTTGTTGACTCATCACATTTATATATCTAATTCATCATAGAGGACCATGCTGTCAAGCTTCTATCTCAAGCAAATCAAGGACAAAATATGAAATAAAATCGGACGTGGAAAGTTTACCAAACGGAGGTGGCGAATGGCCAAATGGTAGTCAACGCTGACTAAGATGTGTGTGGATGTTTTTCACATATTTGATTTCTAGTCAATTGAATCTTATTTAGGCTGATGCAGCGTTTCATAACATGAGTTTAAAATTATACAAAAGTTTAGATTTGTTAACATTGCTTTATACAAGAAGCATAGTTCTGTCATCATTCACTGTCAAAAACTTGCAAAAGAGAATAGTTTGAATCATAAAGTACCTGTTTTTGACAGGTAAATGATCCTTGTACTTCTTGACAGGAAAAAAACGGATTCTTGGGACAGCATACTAACCATCTACATTGTCGTTGATGGCTACAATGTAGATGGTTAGTTTGCTGTAACAAGACAATGATCCTTGTATTTCTCGAGAGGAAGAAAAAGGAACTCGTGCGACAGCAAAGTAACCATCTACATTGTAGCCATCAACGACAATAATCATTGCACTTTTTGACAAGAAAAAAAAAGTGACTCGTGGTACAGCAAAGTAGCCATCTACATTGTAACCATCAACGACAATACAACGCATATCCCAACAAAGGCAAAAGGAACAAAGGAGACAACCTACTGAGGAAAAAAAGAACAGGAGCGTTATGAAGACAGCTGGCAACAGGATGAGAGATTTCAACAGATGTTTCTCGAAACAGTTACGGATATGTCAGATGTGCCGTTATGGACGATACATACGGCGATGCAGTCTCTGGAATTAGACGCAGCACGAGAAGATGTGCGAAAATATAATGCAAATACTTTTGAAGAAAATAATATCTAAGAAACGAAGGAATCCTCATGGAATACAAGATTGTACAGGAGAAGTAAAGAGTCAAAATCCAAAGTTGGGTTACAGCAGGAAAAAAAATGTAGACCTTAATCCAAAATGACTCAATCCATATTCTTTGACAGTATTGAAGAACTTCAGAACTTACGATTGTAGGTGATAATACTTTAACAACTGACGATAGTCGCCCCCCAGAGACTTCGAGTAGCACTTTCCTGATTTATGATTACCTCCAACATATGATATTATTTACATGATGAGGATTTAGAATATTGAATCTTAAGGAGTAAGCTTCAATAGCTTACTGGCCGGTTCTAAGTTGTGCAAGGATAGAAGCTAGTTTTCTATCGGGCAAGATGAACACATTAACGTTTTTGGAGTCGACATATGGGATGAATAGCTTTTAATTCTTCAGCTTTAAAAGAAAATATACATGTGTTTGTCCAAAGAGTTAGTCTATGCCGATGGATGTGAAATCTGAGTAAAGACAATCAATCCTTAAGACAAAAAAACATTAAACGCTGCAATTCATAGCAGTTATTCCGGCGACTTAAGTTCTAAAGTTACAAGTAATGTTTTTAATATCTCGGATCTGTGAAGGTTTGAATACATATTTTAACTGAAACCGAACGATGTAACGATAATCTAACGTCACGACTTCAATAAATAAGTAGAGTCGCTGATGTCATGTAGGTATAAATCTCAATGTAAATATTAGGGATTTGTGCGTAGACAGAGCTCTAATATACACTTGAACAAGTATGTTGAACATTATATATTATAATAGTTCATCCTCAGAACATACTAGAAGCTGAAGGATGTAAGAATGCTAGAAGAATTACATTCGCAAACAATGATATGACCAAATAGTAGGGTAATGTGATTTATCCACGGATTTTCAAATCGAGAAAACATTATTAACGATGGAAATATCCACCAATGAAATAATTGATGTGAAACATGAAATTTAACATCAGAGCAAGATGTAACAATGAAAATCACTTGTTTTGCTAAGTGTGGTCAAATTTGCATCTAGATTAAGAGAAATAATCAAATTACTCATGCAGGATCTATGTTGTTGTAATTTGAGAATTTTTAAAAATCAATTAATGAATATTATATAAGATATCATTCTTCAATGGAATTAAAAATTAATTCAAAAGTGATATATATATATATATATATATATATAGACAAGTTTAAAAGAGTTATGTTTTGATCTAATTCGGATTGATGTAGATTTCAAAATTTTGTAAATCATGGCTAATAGATTATTGGAAAATCCTAACTTTTGTGATAATTTGTCATTACAAAATCTCTCACTTGTATTTATCCGAACATGATGTAAATGTGAACGGTACTTCATCATAATAGTAATTATTTTGACAAGTTTTATGTTAACTAGTGAAACTTACGCATACATATGATTTTTTTTTGCATGATGATTTGTTTGGTCTTGAAATGTTGTTGTTAAATGATTGAACATAAGGTTATGCTAATAAGTGTTATTTGTAGTAGTGAGTGTTATTTGCTGCATGTATCAACATTTGACTTCAAGATGTAATCAAATCATTTATTACAATAATTTGCCATTTTTTGAGAAAGAAACATAGATTACGAGGTTTGTTGGCTCTAATATTGATATTTACAAAATATCAATTTTAATTCAGATCTTAGTTTTTTCGCTTGGTTAATTATAATCAGTATACCAATTACCCTACCACTACATAAAAGAAGTAGATCATAGCTTTATTGAAACAAGTTAGAGTTTTGCTGAATGAATACTTTTGTGTGTTTAGTGAATGTAGCATGGAGGAGTGAAGTTTTGATCTCTAGATTAACATGCATTTTAGACGGCTTTAAAGTACATCATCACGAATCTAAAAGGGTCATGTATCTTTCAAGTGTTTGGATCTAATTATTTCTCACATAATCATTCCACTCATCATCAATGTTATTTGCAATAAAGATTTTAAATGATCTCTAAACTTTTTTATTCACAACAAAATTTAACACCCAAAATTTTCAGATCCAGTCGAACCAGTTGAAATTTTACTAGACGATGGTCTAGAAGTGTAGATACCAGAGCATAGTAGAAATGGGTTATATATCACACATGGGATACCCAAGTTAATCCAATAGAAACTCAATTATCTTTTGAAAGCACAACGCAAGATATAGACTGATGAGAACCTTGAACCACGCACCACGTGACAGGCACAAGGTTTACAGTTGTGCTAGAATATTATCTTTAATCATGGATATTTTATAATGGGTAACATAAACTAGGACAAAGTTCTGTCTTACGTTCCATTTCTCACTTGTAAGGCTTGATTACGTCTTCCCATACTTTTCTGTTATCTGCTTTGTCCCCGCGCACATAAACTGTATATATGTAACCACACTTTGATGTTGTCCTTGACCATCTACTTACGAAACAGTTGTCTAATTTTACAAATATATCTTTACAAGATTCATCATTTTTCAAAAACTATACAAATTTTAATAATCAAACATTTGAAATTTTTTTATTTGATCAATACTTGTAAATAGTTTAAACACTAACATCAAATATAACATCAAAATGCCTACTTGGTTGATATTCTTATGTATATTAGTATTCTATGTAAAATATAATAGCTAACCAACGTGAAAATGCTTGCACAATATTAAGATAAAATTAAAATTAAGATTAAAAATTCAGAAAATTTTAATTTTTCCAGAATGTAATTTTTAATATTGAATAAAATAGTAAAATCTATAAGTTTGTTATCCATTTAAATTTTTTTTAATGACACCATGATTAATTTATTTGTGTTGATCAAGATAAACTATATAATATACTACATTCTAAAAAATTCAACACAAAAGTTTTATAATTTTTTTCAATTAGGTTACATTCACGTAAAACAAAAAAAAAATTCTAAAATTTTTTAAATTTTGGTCACTAAGAGCAACAATCATTATTCTCATATAGCAAGGGGTTAATCATTGAACTGATTATGATTTCACTAATTTTGATTGAATAATTTAAATAAATCGGAATTTATAATAAGGTTTTTTAATATGTAATATTATATTTTTAACATAAATTTTGAATTTTTTAAGTTATTTAATTCATGTGATATTTTTTCCAAATACTTAATAAAAAATTCAATACGAGAAAATTTTTAAATTAGAAATTAATAAATTTAAGCCTTAATTAAAATATAAAAAATTGAAATAAAATTATACAATAAATTTATTGCTAATTTAATTTTTTTTATCCATATGCAAAATTTGCAATGTGGCATGATATCTTAATTTATTTTCAAAAAGATCATTTTGATGAATTATCCAACAAGATCAAATTATTGTAAATTTTGGGTATTTTAATTATATTTTTGAATAAAATTTTTCAAAAATTATAACATTATGTCGTTGTATATTATTCACTTTTCCATCATCTGATTCAGAATCAAATGTAAAGCATATTAACTATCAAAGTAGAAATTCACAATGTTAAAATTGTTAAAATTGAGAATTTTTATTTTGATAGTTAAAATATGAAGACATGTTTTGCATCTCATAACACCAAGTTTTTTTGGACTAAAACAACATTCAATTCACATAGACTAGAAGTATCATAAAACTAGAAATTATTCATTTTTTTAAATGTTGAAAAATGATACAAGTACAATTTTTGAAAAACTTTGTATGTTTATGAAATTTTCGAGCTTTGATATTTATTTTCTATAATATTTTTACTTTTCTTTTTAAGTTCAACTATTATATTTTGCAGATTATTTTCTTTCGTAGCTACATAAAAAATGCTATGACAACTTCCAACTGATTTTAAATTTTTACCTAATATTAAATATAGTATATAAAAATAAATCAAAGTGTATCATAGTTGGTTACAAATAACATAATAAGTAAAAATAACAAGTCAACATTTTTTTCTAGTCTGAAATGTTTTGCCATTAATTGTGCTTTGAATAAAGTTTTTTAATCAAGTGGTGAATAATCTTTCAACTTATACAAATACTTATACGTAATATATTACAAGTCAACTTTATCTTCATCTTGGAAGTTCATAATTCAATTTTTCCACTTATTTTTGTTAATTACAATATATGATTTTTTTCATTGGAAGAAAAATAGATCATGTTAAGATCAAAAATTTAAAAAAATAAATTATTATCAAATATTTTATGTATACTCATAAAATATTCAGTGAAACTTAAGAATTTGGTTGTAGACATGAAACTTTGAAAAATAGTTTTTAACATTTTGCAACCTGATTTAGAAGTTCATATAAAGTTAATCCAACACATTCTTATTATTTTTTGTTTCATAAAAATGTAAATGATAAGAACTTGGATTATGATATTGTTTTGTTTAATTTTAAAATTCTATATTTGATGTTGCTAGTTTTAACAACAATACATGATGCTATGTTCATAAGTGTAAAAGATGTCACAATTAATGTATAATCCGTCAACTCCTGTAATTGCATGAGTAGTAAGTATATGCAATTAGAACAAGGAATACAATCTAAGTTGTTAGTATAGTGATTAGGAGAATTATCAACTCCAAAAGATATGAATTTGGAAACTGAGTAAGTAATCATGTAGATGCAAAATTATAAGTGTAAGTTCAAATTCAGATTAGTTGTAGTAAAAGTTACGTGCTTTGATGAAGAACATATGTTAAAAGTGGATGTTTTGAAAATGTATTGGATTTTATAAGAATGAATGTGTTAATGTACATCAATTTTTCGCATGATTTATGCTCTACATGTATATGAACAGTACCATTTCATGTAAGAATTAAATAAAGTCAGCTCAGTCGAGCTCAGTCACATGAGACGGATCCGAGGCGCGAACGATGAGGCGAAATCTTGCGCACAGTAGTCGCACAAGGCCTCGAGAGACCAGCGGCTGCACGGGCCCGGATCGTTGGCCCACAGCTCCGGCTTTGGCAAACGCAACGAGAGTCCTTCTCGACCCCTCCCATCGCAGTAGTCGACAGCATGGCATCCACGTCGGCCGCGTTACAACCCGGAGATGAACACGAAGGCGTTAGAAGAACCATCAACTGAATTCCACTGACTTTATAATTTAGGACGAATCGTCGTACACTAGGTGAGGGTTAATTAGCCCAAAGTTAATTAGCCCTCCTCCCTGTTTCAATATGTCATTTTATACAAAAATATACAAGATGCTTTATACTTTGCATCCTTCCAACATTGCAGTGAGTTTGGATGTTCCCTTGGCTAACGCCAAAACTGAAGGATAAATATCTTCATCTAGAATGAAGATATTTATCCTCATGCTTCCATGAGATGGAAAGTTGGAGACGAGTTGACCAATTCTAGATTTTCAAAGCCTGCTGCCAGAGCAAGTTTCCTGATTTCCTCAACAGTTCGCCATCTGGCTCCAGAAAACAGTAAGGACAAAATTGAATCACGTTGCATCTTCGTTCGCCCTGTTCTTCTGCCGGTGGTTCCAAAGCTTCGGCAAGTAGCAATTTTTGGCCTTGCGCCGCCGGTAGTCACTACCGTCGGCGCAAGGCAAAAGATTGCTGATTGCTCATAAAGTTTGTGAGGACTTTTGTGCAGTTCCCGTAAACCTTATGCATGTGTCAGGGGATCTCGAATCGATAACAGGGATGCCTTTAGAGCAAACAGTAAAGTCTTTGTGGAGTATCGGATAGGAAACCTCCCGATTTTGACGCTTTTGCAATTTTCAAGAAAGGTCTGATAGTTGATCAAGTTGGAAGTACATCATTATTATTCAATTCTCAAAACAACAAAATACATTGACGTACAATCACATGACTCGCTTTTCACCTCGTTAACAAGAGAAGCAAAAGCTACCTGAGTGAAGAACTTGAGAAAAATGATGGAAAGTCAATTTCTCAACTTTAATCTGATATATATATATATATATAGATAGAATTTTTGATTATATTCAAAACATAAAAAGTACAACTTTCAATGGAGGTGTACAGAATTTGAAATCGACATAATCAAAACCATTATATACGTTAAGTTCTAATAATTTCATTATAAATTGTAAAAAAAAAACTGCAAAAGACGTCGTCTAAGACGACAACTCTTTTCCTGTCCTTCACTCCAACGCCACGATCCTCGTTGCCTTCCTCCATCAGATGGAGGAAGGCATGCGACATGCCGCATTTGCCTGTAGATCTTCCCTTCGGTGCTCCGTAACGGCTCAAAGTATGTCAGGAAACCTTAACAGCAACACGCATAGCGTCCAAACAAATCCATATTCAAATAATTGCTCTAAAATAAGTATGTCTATCGCCCATTGTATACAACCTCCACGCGGTCTCACTCCAGATACTTCTTCTTCTTCTTGAGTGGTGGGAGTGGAGAGGACATTGAGATGGAACAAATCATTCATTCCAGAATGGTTCGTTCCATCTCAATCTCCTCTCCACTCCCACCACTCAGATCTTCAACTCATGCAAATTCTTCCCTTCCTCTACTCCGTCACTGTTCCCGCCTGCTCGTTGTTCACTTTTTCAAGCCATCCTCCTACGAACACACTTGGACATATCCAATCTCTATATCTCCGCCCACCTCGTAAAAGACCACTCTTCAAAGGAAATCTTGGAATGGCGCTAAAATCTAATCTTTCGTCCTCCGTCGCTCTTCCCGCCAGCTCTGATAACCTTCTTGCAAGGCTGGACTTATGACGGATGCAAACAGAGACGATACGAGAAGTTCGAAGAGTTCAACTTAGCTCAATGCGAGAAAGAGTGTGTCCCACCGCGTCCCCTGCCACAACCCTCACCCTAACCCAATGCAAATTTGCGAAACAGATTTAAATTACTTCGGTGACATAGTAGAAGCTTGCTCTCGCGTTGTAGCAAATTTGAACGTAGAAAACCCAATCACCTCCCTCTCCTAAACGTAAATATCCACACCCGCCACAGAGAGAAATCTTCAATCTCACAGATCACTATTCCTTCCTACTCCGTCACCGTCCCCGCCTGCTCATTGATCCCTCTTTCAAGTCTCTCCCGATTAGTCCCACTCGGGCACCTCGGAAGGCCCTTGATATCTATCCTCTCATACCTTTGTACCCTCGTCCAGCTCGCATAAACATTCCACGCCCTTTCTCGAGATTTTATGCAGAGCTTCTTAGCAACTCATCAATCATGTAAAAGGAAGAGGGGCCGAATCTATTAGATCTTACCTCCGACTTCTATATTACCTGATTCCAGCCGAAAAGTCTAAAACAAAGCTTTCTCAATACTGGCCTTTACGGCGAAATGTTAACATACGCACCTTCTCAGAACTTTGTCCACAGAACTGATCTTCCTTGGGCCAACGGTCTCCTTCGACACATCGTGCTCGGCAAAACATCACATGTTCTGCGGGTGTGATGAGAGAACGCAGACAGCAGACAGCAAATTCAGGGTGAGTTGCCTTAGTTAGTCGCGTTCGTAGGACGAACACAATAGATTCTCTACGACATACGTACAACCATCAGGCATTCCCAACTTTACTTGCAAATGTGAAATTAATTGCACGCGAGAGATCTGATGGAAATCTCACATCCACAATCCCACTGCGCACAGGATATCACAGTAAGAGCTTTTGCAGAAGCTTCCCTCCCTTAAATCGGCTTTCACCACATATCAGTCTCCATCAGGGACTGATACTGTCCCAATTCTCGATGTGCGATATGTGGTGGAAGCCAGTTCAAGGGAGGGAAAGCTTCTGGGACGAACTTAGACAGCACAGGAATGTTGGTCAGGCCTCTCATTCGAATTTGACAGAGTTCGAGAGCTAGTCTTCGTCAGAGAATTGAGCAGGTTTCACAGTGATCGTAATTGAGTTGTTGACTGCACCCCTTGGCAACTAATCTTGTCTTCTACACCCGAATCTCAGCAGCAACTCTTTGCCTTGAAGAAAGGAGTTGCTAGATCGAATCGATCCATCTGCCTCAACGCTTGACATCATAGAACACGGTACTTCCAACACTTCTGCGAAGCTTTCAAGCAAAACGCACATCTTCACAACGGAACACAATCTTTACGTCGGGAGGCTGATCCCCACAACCCCTCTCACTTTCAGAACTTATTTGACAACCATTCCCTTGACCGGCCAAACAAGCATCAAGCTTATCGCCTGTTGCAAGAAATCTGTCTGAACTAGATTCTCATGGAGCTTCTTGCATTACTACTTCAAAAAGCTCCCTTTTTCCCCTCATTATCAGACCCGTTTCGTGAAAGCATTTCAGGCTTCTGGCAGTCGAAGCCACTCGACAAGGAAAAGCGTGTCTTTTTGCCCCACTGCGTCCTCCACCACCTTCTCCTTCGGTCCTCTCCTCGAACACGGCTCGTGCGTTTGACATAAATGACACACCATCAATGTGCACTTTGTTGTTTAGTAATGCGTGAAGTATCGATTGCGATCGAAGATCCACAAATTTCACCGAAAGCACCGCTGCAGAAATTGATAGTAACATGGCTGTACAGATCAGAGATGGTACGCGTTCAAGTTCGTTCACATCGAGAAAAAGGATGCCCCACCGCCTCCCCTCTCACCATCCTCACCCTCGCTCCTTTCCTCGAACACCGCTCGACAATCGAGCTTGGCTTCTTGTTCCATGCTTTTCCTTCTCTCCCGGGACCCGCCGAGTGCGCTCTACGTCCCAGCTCTCAGCCGCCAGCGCCAGCGCCAGCCCCCGGTTTGAATCAGGTCAAAGCACCCATCCGTTGTAAGTTGTAAATAAATCTCCCGGTTAGGTACGCATGCATTCTCTGGAAAAATTTCAGGCCTCACGATTTAATGGTTCAACCTGTCCTGAAAAGTCAAGGATCATGCTGTGATACCATGTGTAAAGCTTGAATTAAAGCAATGCATTAGAGTAGAGATATATCTGATTATCTCTTCTGCTACTTCGTTTCTGTGGTTTGGGACACTAGCTATGTATAACGTTTTTTTTTTCCTAGCGTCAAATGGAGATGAGAATGGTCAAATGTTGGAAAAAACTGTATACTTGAAGTGAAGTGATTTGACCGAACCAAAATTTCTTCAGGTTTAAAAGACTTATCCTTGAAATATAGTGGTCTACCATGGATATGTGGAATATTGTGTACCCATATGAGGAAACTTCATTCTCCAATGAGGATCTCAAGTTGTTGAAGGAATACCGAACATGCTTCAAGAAGACCATGTACATCATTCGCGGATGAGCCACTTGCCTAAGGACAAGGATAAATGTTGGAAAGGATGCGCATGTTCTTTGCAACATACAAGAGACGAAGAAATTGTTCAAAATGGTGTTACCACTGTTGCAAAGTGGATCACATCAAGTGTTTTTGCTGCAAATTTAAGAACAGGTCACATGTGCTAATAACGATGATGACTACGCATTTGTAATACGTAATTAAGCACATTTAAAAAACGTGCTTAATTATTAACGAGCAAGTGGATTATTGACTCGGATTGTCCGATTTCACACTGTATGATGTCAAATGCATGCATGCAAATTGCGTTAATGATGTAGTCATCCATGCAATGTGTATTTGGATGATAATAGTGTTATCCAAGCTAAGAATAAGCAATCTTGTAATCTAAAATCAACCAAATTTGTATCAAAGTGTTCACAGTTCAAAGGTAGATTTGACCTAAACCTTATGAACTAAGTATGCATTAAGTGAAATAGGCAGATATAAGGCACAATTAGTAGCAAAGAGATAAGCTCAAATGGTGAAAATGGAATTTAAGAAGAACTTGCTCACATAGACAAATTTATCACCATCAGATGTATACTCTCATTAAATAATCCATCTAATGTATGTAAAAACACAGTTTTTACATCCATTTGGGATATGTGAAACATTGGAAGTAAAATCTATGTGGATCAACCAAAGAATTTAGTTCATGAGAGAAGAAAATATCTTGTGTGCAAACTCAGTTTGTTACGTACTCAAGCATTGGCCACAGTTGTGATACCACTATCTCGACCCATTCTAGACTATCTAGCAAAGAGATTATTTATAATAACCAAGTGTATTTGTTGTACACCAAACAAACGAGTGAATATTTGTTGGTGGTAATCTTCTACGTGCATGATTTTATTATATTGGGTATCAATGTAACTCATTTGAAGTGGCTCAAATTGAAACATGAGAAGTTAATTCTTATAAATAATCTTATGAACGTTTCTTATATATTATACATGTAATCTGTTCTTTGTCTTGAGGACCACTCCTAGAAGTAATGCCGTTTTCGCATTACTATTGCTTCATTCTTAGAATATTCAAGGATTAGGCTATGAATCAACTTTCAATTATTGCACTCCAAATGTCATTCACACTTTTTTTTCCAAATGTTTCAAATGAATGAAACTCTACCATAAAATTGTTGTTGCTAGTATTTTGAAATCGTCTAGTATTTCTTAAACTTTGTAAATAATTAAGAACATTTTTCTTTTCTTTTAGAAAAAATTATTAAATTTCTACTGCTAAAAATCTCTCATTTGTGAACCATTAGATAAAACATAAAGCTTTATGCAATTACTATATATCAATCTTGATATAACTCTAAAATTATTGCTCCAATCAATGCAAAACTTCAGAAAAACATGATATGTCATTCCAGTTTGATTTTCAGGAAATTTTAAACAGAGAACTAGTTTGGATCAAAATGAATAGTTATTATACTAAAATTATAACAATAAGTGCAATATTGCAATTTTGACTCTAAGATTAAATCTTAGACATTATCATTCATTCAAAATTATTTCATTTAACATTAAATTTCAATCTTAAATAAAAGCTTAAATCATAAGTTATCAAGTGGTTATCTTTAATCCATCAGAAATTATAAATTTTTTTCCAATATCATTCCATATATGCGTCTAGATGCTGATTTCAATCTTGAATAAAAGCTTAAATCATAAGTTATCAAGGGGTTATCTTTAATCCATCAAAAATCTTAAAATTTGTTCGAATATCATTCACTATATGCATCTAGGTGCTCATTTCAATCTTGAATAAAAGCTTAAATCATAAGTTTTCAGCTGGTTATCTTTAATCCATCAAAAATCTTAAAAGATTTTCTAATATCATTCAATATATGCGTCTAGGTCCTGAGTTCACTTTCCAACTTTGACATCTCATAACATGTTTTTTATTATGTAAAACTTCCTGATTTTTGAGCTCGTGCATAGCTCATGTTGTCAAGTTGTCAAACTTGTCATTTGCTTTTTCAAAAGAATTCAAAATTTTTGCCAAAAATAAACAAAAACTTCAAGAAGTTGTTCAAAAAGCTTTCATGCATATGAAACAATGAGATCAAAAGTGGATTTTGATGTCCACTGAAATCAAAACAACTCTTAACTTGATAAAAAATTGAGATCTAGCTAAGCACTTACTTAGCTCTAATACGCACCTTATAAGTTCGATAAATGAGATGATCAAAATCACAACTTTGAACTGGTCAAGTATGGTGCAATTATCATTTAAAGATATTATAATTTTTATAAATTTATAAAAATGAAGTTTTAAAAATTTTCTTTAGTGTAATTTAAGTGATGAGATCAAACTTAAGTATTGAAAGAGGTAACAATTGCCTAATATAAATTCATAGCAACAACCAAAGTAAAATTTAACCTATCAAGCTCCAAAGTTCATCGTAGGAAACTATAAGCAAAATAATAAGATTGAAAAACATAAAAAATTGACGCATAAAACTATCTTTAAATTTATCAAATTGAAAATTGATCTTGATAGATACATCAAATATTGATATGTAATACCCGTAGTTGTATGAATGCATTAATTGGAAATTTAATCAAAAAATTGATCATAATTAAATCAATCATATCTAAATATAGCTAATTATGATAAAGTTAAATATTAAATTTATACTTGGAAAAATATGTAGAATAATTTTACAAATTTTAGATGAGTTATAAGATTCGTAGTTGTATGAATGTATTAATTTTAGATTCAATAAAATAATTAGTTTTGGTTAGTTTATTCATGAATAAATTAAGCTAAATATTATAACATTAAGAATAAAGAAATTTTTTTGTAATAAAAAATAAGTTGATTTTTGATTATTTGAATTTATTTGTTGACAAAATCTTTAAATTCAAATATAAATTTTAACATATTGCCGTATTTTTGATCAATTATACACTCATTGTATACATTTCAATATCTTCTTTACTCCCAGAAGCGTCATTATATGTAATTGATTTTGGAAAATTTATGTACTTTGCATGTGAAACCTTAAATCCCAAAACTTAACCTCTTTGACTTTCTAGTTTGTGATGTACTCATACTACTTTGTGGCATTTGTCGTCTACAAGTTTTGTTTTGCTCTCAACGTACATAATCCTTATGTTGTGCATCTATACTCTAAGCACTGACGTCATTTTCTATATTATATTTTTTGTTAAGACAAATATTTTTGAACTTTTAGATAGTTACATAATTTATGATTGATCTCCATCATAAATTTCATGTCATTGAAGTACTGGTTCAGAGATAAAAAAGACAAACTCTCATCCTGTTTCATGTCTAATAGATTGATGATAGGACAATACACCTAACAATACAGATCGCTTATACAATAATTATAGAATAAATTATTATATAAAAATTTATTTTCATTATAAAAAATCTATATTTTAATGATATATGATGATGATTATAGATAAATCCAAGTTTAACTCTCTAACTTATATTTGATAAAATGATTAGAATAAGTTTACAATCCTTGGATGAGCTATAAAATCCATGATTATATAAATATTTTATTTGTAAAATTAATTATAAAATTTATTTTAATCAGTTGAACCTGAATAAATTTAGCCTATTCTAATATAAATTTGACCTTTATATATTTTTATGATTACAATTAAATTATAATGTCTATATTTGACAAAATAATTAGAATACTTTTGGAAGTTATAGATGAAAATCACTATTTTATCTTCCATCAAAATTTAGATTTTGAAAATAATTTGAATATATGCTAGTTTTGATTGCTTCGATCAAGAAGTAAACTTTTCATTTGTTACATTAAATATAAACTTTGACTTGATGTCAAGTTGAAATTTCAATACTTTTAAGGTTTCAAATGACAAGTCATCAACATATCTTTAATAAAAAAAAAGTTCAAAAATATATAGGTAGATTAATGACATGTTAAAATGTTATATTCATCATAAGATTTGGTCATATTTATTCATAGTAAATGTAAATTTGATAATATTTCTTTGACTTATAAGAATATTTTTTCAAATAGTATAAATAGAAAGGTAGAAAAATACCATGGAAAACTTTGAGATTTTTAAATTCTCAGCTTGTCATTCAGTCAAACTTAAGATTAAATTTAGCAAAGGGAAACTATACCAGATGTTACACCAATAAAAAACAACATAGAGTGAAAGTTTCTTCCATTGAAATCTATATTTTGATAGTATATAAAATAACAATGCTCTGATATAATTTTCAGAAATATTATAATTACTCTATCAATTATAGACTAGATATCTAAATCTAATTATGAGTAAATCAATATGGTCAATTCTCTGACTTATTTTAGAACTAATGCATTCATACAATTACCTTTGTTAGAGAATAATCTTTATTGTAACAACTGAAAGATCCTTAAATTTACAAAGTGGTAGAAACGTCAAGATTTGTCAAATGGAATCTCGTATCTGTTTTCTTGAATCTCCGCACTCCACATTCTCCAGTCCCTAGAGCTCTTCCATTGTCCACATCGGATTTACCGTTAAGAAATTTTCAACAAATATATATGACATGTGGAGATGCTGGGAATTGTGTTTATCTACAATACCAAGCATGATGATTTCAAATTAGCAAGTAGATTTGAATCAATTTCCGCGTCCCACATCCATTACTCTCGTGCTCCAGCACCTAGACCTCTTCCATCGGCCACATCCGGTTTGCAGTTGAAGAATTGTCTAAGAGTTATCCCTGACATGTGGAGATGCTAGGAAGTGGGTCTATCTACGATACCGGACATGATGGTTTCAAGTTCGCAAGGAATTTCGAATCACTTCACATTGTTGGGAAGATTCTCTCTCACGTGAAGAATAGTTTCTGTAATTCTTCGGTAATCAGTGTTATTACTGAAGCATTTACATATGGCACCTCGTACACTAGTCAATATATAGATAGGAAAGGTGATTCTTGTGCCAATTGACATTACACTAGATGTGTGAAGGCCAGTGACAAAAAGCAAGTGAAGTGAGAGAATTTATAGTGAAACTTTACATGAAATGAGTTTTCATTGAGAAGTGCCGGGATGATTTTGGACGAACTGGAGGGTAAATCGGTGAGTGCCCCGATGGTCAAAGGATCACGGTTGTATAGCACAGGATCTAAAACATTTGCACTATATCTTGTAATTTGACGTGATATTACAATCTGAACTTAGACATATTGTGTCTAACATAAGAGTTTAAAGGGAAAACCAAGTTGATTAAAGATCACATGATACGCAAAATTTCAAAATGATATTTTACCTTTGAACAACACATATCCAATCTGTTCGTATTGATGCGAAAAGTAACTTCGCATGGAGACTATGGCAAAGACAAAAAGTAAGAAATGCTATGCAACTTCCTTATTGAAAAAGAAAATTACTGTAAAATACTTGTTGAACCCATACGTAGAGACACCTTGACCAAACATGCACCTTACCACAAGCAATAATCAAAGTAAAAATTTAAAAAATGAAAATACAATTCTGTATAGGTGGGCCAAATTCTTGCGGGAAGGCTGCCAATGTACATGAAGATCTTGAGTTGTCTCGTGACGTCTAGCCAGGTGTATGGTGTTTCAGAACCAAGGAGGATTGTTTGATGGCAATCAGACCATGTAGCGGCTTGCGAAGTATAGTTGGTGAAGAGGGTGGCCAAACCCAGAGAAGGATTGCGAAGATAGAATTAGACCTCGCATTGACTCTCAAGATCTTCTCTGCTAGAAGCATGACCAAAGCGAATGAGCGGGCTAGTGGGCAAAAAGAAGAAAGTACATATTTTTCTCTACAGTAAGGTAATGTCTTACGTCTTGACCTACTAAATCCTCGCAATGACTTGCAGCGGCTTACAAAGATTGATTACTGTACATGATTCAACAAAACATAGTATCAAAACAACACTGTCTTGATAATTCACAAGTATATATAATACTGGTAGAGATTGTCTAAGTTTATGTAGATCGTTCCAAAATCTTAGAATGGAAAGATTGTATTGCATATTAACTTCATGCGATGAATCAGATTGCATCATCTACCAAACATAATTTAAACACTTCGCTTCTGTCACAGGTACAGCCATAGCTCATGTACTGTGTTCACAAAAAATCTGAACTAATGTGTAGTCGTCGTTGATGTGAAATAGCTTGCCTTGCGAACTTTTCTCATGTAATGTCGTGGAGGGCGTCGGGGATGAGTTCTGTGTTAACAGTTAACTGGATCGAATGCAAACGGCCTGCGTTAACACAATCTCACTTATTCTGCTGCTTCCTTCTTCTGCTTTTGAAGAGGCCTCTGCCCACTCGTGGACTATCGTCCTTCACATATTGCACGTGGTCGTGTGACCGGAGATTAGTCGGAATTGGATGCCCGTGTTCAGGAGTAGTTGGTCCCCCGGATGAAGAAGACACACCTGTAGAGGTAGCACTCACAACCTCCTTCTGCTCCTCACCTGTACCAGCATCTGGAATCTCAATACGATTTGATTCAGCATTTCTTGAATCCACACCTTCAGTCCCTGCAGGTTGCGCTGCTTGACTTCCAGCAATAGGTACTTGAGTTCCTGGATCAGATTGAGGCAGCTTGATCATATACGAACCACCCCGAGTCTTTCCAGGTTTCTTTTTGACATCCTGCTCGTGAGGAGTTTCAAGTGTTTCTTCTTGTCCAGTCTCCTCCTTTTCCTTCTCCTTGATGTGACGATCAGTCTCGGGGTCAACAAACAAGTCTGCATCGCTCCGGGCGATGACAGACTTGGATGAGCTTTGACTCCGTGACGGTGAAATGCTACAAGGATCTACGAAGTCACTGAGATGAAGAACTTGCTGGTGACGGCGCGGAATTTTAACCCACCTTTTCATGCACAGAATGACCCCAACGCCGCATCCCAGAGGTAAGCAAAGAGGTAATGTAATCACCAGGAGCATGAAACCGATTGGAATAAGAATAGGGAGGGCAGTCAAAAGCAGCATTGCAAAAGCTGCATACTTCCCCAAAACCCAGACACGCTTAGGCACCTGGCTTTCCCCTGACGACAGTCCCCGCACCTGCGACATTTTGACAATAAACATTTGTAACGTCCTCACACACTTCTACGTCCGGTAGCCCGAAATGTCGACCTCACTCGAGACCGGAGCTCAGGAGCTCTTCCCAGTCTCGCTCCACTGCAATTCGATAGCTTCCTCACGAGAAAAGTCTCCTGAAAATTATCTGGAAGTCAATCCGCAAAGGGCATTCAAAGGCCTGAAATCAGAACGTCTGGGACGAAAGCGATGAAACTCGAGGATCAAAGGGACTCTGCATGCACTACCACCAATTCAGTGAACATGCACAGCATCCATTGCATTGCTGATACAACTCGTCACACAACAAGGCCTACACTGCTTTCTGCTCGGTTCCCCATCGACCAGTCAGGATCTTGCTCTACAACCACTAACAAAACGTCGCCGATCGCCATCGCCCCAGGCCTGCATTCTCTTCTACACTAAACGTGGTCCGGTATCGACAATCGCACGTTCATCATCGTCAAATAAAAGGAATCAACATGAGATTCTGCGAATCTGAAGGAGCGGGCACGACTGTCATACTTGGAGCGCTCTGGTGAATGGCGCCGTGGACGTTGGGGCTCGTCCAGACCTCCTCGTCCGCCAGTTTGAAATTGTATCGTCGATATCAGATTCCCCACCGCGTTCAAATTGTCGTGAATCCGCATGAGCGTCGGCATCCGATCACTAATTGCCAACGTGCTGAGTGCCAATTTGTCGCATCACCGTATAACTGCGTTAATAATAGTGAGATAAGATGGTCGGTAGTATGGGTTGCCAATATCAAGCTAGAGCTGGCATAAGAGTGAGCGTGAACATCTATTTCGATGCAAGCTGACAATCGGTAACCTGGTAACTTGGTGTTCGGGTTGCAAGTGTCCAGAAGCTTATTGTTTGCCAGGTTAACGGCTGTTGGTGAGAGGGCACCGAAATCTTTATCTTTTCTTTTCTGTTTAATTAGGATTTGTAACCTTGATGACAGCATAGTCAAATGTACGATTTTAGATCTCAAGAACTTTATTATTCATTTGATTATCTATTATCCATTATTCTTGACTCAACGTTGGAATATATCAAATTATTACTTCGTTTAGAAAATAAATATGGCTTCCAATCAAATTCTTCAAATATTGAAAAGACAAATGACGAAGTTAATCAATCATGAATTGATTTTATATATACTGATGATAGACCTAATACTTATAGGATATTTCTTTCTACATCAAAATTATGTTTGCAACTGGATATATAGCATTTTTGAAAAAATTAATCTGTTTAAAAAATTGGGTAATTTTTTTTTGCAAAACCAACAATTCTTATTTGAAAAATCACATGTAGAAAAAAATCTACATAATTAGCTTATACTCTCAATCTAGTATCAGCATTTCTGGAAATGCATAGAAATAGCCCCTTTGCATATATTCTTGAACAGAACATATATCATATTGCCTATGAAGGGCATCACCTGCCAAAATGCATTAAAAAATTGTTGAAACATCTGTCATACATATCATAATCATATGTTAAAGTACTAAAAATAATTCAACCAACATCTTTCGTATACTTTTTCTGCGAATGAATTTATCATTTTGAAACTAATTTGAAAGTTTCGAAATATAAATCTAGATTCAATAATCGCCATGGTAAAAAAAAAATTTCAAGATATTTCCTTTAGTTTTTACAACTTGATTATGCTTTATAATTTAAGTCTAATAAAATAATTATTATACATCTAGGAATCATAAAATTTAAAAGTTGATTAAAATATAATGTTTTACCAAATTCATATTGTAATATTAACTTTTTCACAACACATCCTTGTACATTTGTATGTACATGTTTGAATGATGCAATCGAGAGTTATCCGAAAAGGTTATACTGCATGACTTATAATTGGAGGCAGCATCTTAAAAAATATTGGATGATAAAGTTAAAATCATTGATAAATCTTTGATGCAAAAGTATCATTAGACAGTAACCATCCATAATTACATCACTAAAGATTAATGTTAAGAACTCAACCATGAACAAAATATGATGTTTGATTATTATGGCTTACCCCAGATACCTGCTTAGCTAAAATAGAGTAGTTTTCTTCAATTCTTAAGTTTAGGAGGATCTTCAGAATAATGTTGCCCGAAATAGGGTGCAACTGATTTTAAAATCTAATTTAGTGAAGCATCTAACGGGACGATTCGAAGAGACTTGGTGGTTTGCTCGTGAGAAAGTAATGACTGCGAGACATAGGAATTGAAGAGGTGGAGTGGGATTCATATTTCACAAAAGCTTGATAGTTTGTACCTGTAGCTCGTGGTCGGGTGTGTGGTACGTTCTCTCTGAGTAACTCTCTATCTTCAAAAAATTTCCGATGCAGCGATTTCGGTCTCGATCATAGTTCCATAAGAATTGGAAAGGTTTTTCCTGCTGCTTTTTGTATCTCATGTGAAGTCTTCTTCATGCCAATTAGTGGAAGTAGGGTCAGTATGATCTCTGTTTTCGAGTTGAATGATCATGTGCAGCCACACTGTTCAGAACTTGTTTCATCCACATAGTGTTCACATTCAGTCCAAACCATTTGTACATGTTTTCGCACATGAGCCTGTCTCGTTGTGATCATCCGTGTTAGAGAAATATGAAGGTTCGTACTTGCATGTGTGGACAACTCATTTCTTAGTTTGCTACTATTCTGCATGGATCAGTAGACTAGACAGTAGGCAGTGGGGTCTAACATATAAGATGACGTAAAAAGCTTCATTTTCCAGACGTAAGATTTTTTTATTATTGAAATATTCATATGTCAACGAAAAAAGATTCAAGTCAAATTAAGATTAAACTAAGTGCAAACTCAAGTCTTATGAATTTATTGTGTAGTTGTTCTTCAATACTGAAAATATAAGGCACCAAAAAAAAATAATCAAGTTATTAAATGCATCACCTGTTATCATTTTCAACAAATGCGTTTTGGATTACTCTATATCTTTAGTCATTTTTTGAATTTAAGTCATTTTTCATCCTTTACAAAGTCTTTAATTCCATGCTGATTTATTTCATGCCTGAAAACATAAATATTTATAATTTAAATAATAAAATTTTATCAATCTACGTATCACAGTTGAAAGACTACAATTCATTTATCACATATTTTTGATGGAAAACTTTTCTCAGAACTAAAGTTTGGTGTGAGATATTAGCTTTGGTTGCATATCATTTTCTCTTTTAGAGTCTTTGTCGTTTTTTATTATTTAGTAGTAGCTCATTGATGTGTCAATATTCTATGGGATGTGTAGAAATTCACGGCTTTGATTCATTTTGAGTTTTTTCTGTTATAAAGTACTGTTATAAGTCAGGATGATATAAAGTCAGTCAGCGGAGTAAGGCAGATCATTCTAGTGAGAAGGATTTCAATAATGGTCGAGAGTGGGAACGGGGAGACACATAGAGAGAATGAATCATGTGTGAGGAAGTATTAGTCTTGTTGGGGAAATAGGAGTGATTTTTGTGTGTGTGTATTTCTCACTAGACTGGAGTAAGGTCAAGTCTGACGAGATTGATCTTGGATATATATACTCTCACTAGATTGAAACCTTGTAATGACAAGAGTAAGGTCAAGTCTGACGAAATTGATCTTGGATATATAAACTCAAACTGTCTTCATTGAGGAGTTCGCGGAAACTAGGCTTTCAAGGTGAACATCATCAACAAATGCTTGTGTTTGTATGGTGTGTGGACTGTGATTTTCTGTTGGTTATGGAAATTCAGATCCCTACAGTGATATTAGAGCATCTTAGTATTGATCTTGAATTCACGACTTTGTCGCATCTGTCTCTTGCGCTTAATTCAACCTGGCGGATTTGGAAGCATCGAGTAGCTTTGCTAGACGCACTGGCAAGCCAGAAAGGAGCGACTACCTTCCACAACAAAGCATCAACACAAATTCCTCTCAACGAAGCATATCAAATCTCAGTTCTTGGAATCTTTCGACGACAATGAGAATTGACATAGAGAAATTTGATGGCATTGGAGATTTTTGCATTTGGCGCCAAAAAATCTCAGCTCTCCTCGCCCATCAGAGTTGGCTAAGAATCATCTCTCACCTAGTGCTATAGCTTGAAGATATTCTCCAAGATCAAAGATAAAAAATGTTTGAAACTACAATGAGTACAATAAATTTTCACTTGTCTGATTCAATTATTCGTCTTATTAACAAAGAGGTCACACGAGCGCAGGTGTGAAAAAAGCTTGAGGAGATGTTGCAATCTCTCTTTCTCTCCAACAAGATCTACCTGAAGGAGAGTATCTTTGGGTTTAGGATGGACCAAAAAAAGTCATTGAAAGCCAACTTAAACGAATTCTTGAAGATGACAATTGAGCTCGCAAATTCCAACAACAAAGAAGAGCTCAACGGCAAGAATAAGTCAATCATTATTCTCAATTCTATTCCTGAGGCATACTAGGAGGTGATTTCGGCAATCAAGTACGGGAGATCATCAATCACCCTAGATAAAGTGAAATCCGCGCTCAAATCCAAAGACTTGAAAATCAGAGCAGACCAGAAGTTCTCTGGTGATGGCAAAAATCACATGGCTCGTGAAAAACAACAGCGCAAGAACACAGATGGAAGCAACTTCAAGTCTAAGAATCATGACAAAACATATGCAAAGATAAAAAATCGGAATACCAATTCCAACACTTACAAGATGGGTCATATCAAGAGAGATTGTTACTCATGGATCAAGAAAAACAAGAAGAATCAAACTAGCACATCCCAAGATTTCAAAGATTCATCAAACTTTGATGATGGTTTCAACGATGGCAAAGTTCTCATGGCATCAGCAAAACTCAAGATCTCAGAGTGAATTCTTGACTCTGGTTGCACATATCATATGACACACAACAAGCATTGGCTGTCGGACTACCTATAACTCAATGAAGGGAAGGTAGTAATGGTTAACAACCATTCTTGTTCAGTTGTTGTTATAGGATTTGATAGCATTAAGATGGTTGATGATGTCGTGAAAATTTTTAAAAATATATATTAGATGGATACCCAAATTGTTTAGAACCCTGATCTCTATTGGCATTCTCGATGACTTGGATTAAACTAACAAGATTGAGCAAAGCTCTATGTATATTGCAAAAGCTGCTACTGATTTGAAGGTTATCAAGATAAGCTGTCTCTATTATCTCATCGGAGAGACTCTCCATGGAGTTGCGTCAGTCGTCACTACCCAAAACAATAACAAAGCTACACTTTGGCACTGAAGGCTTGGCCATATTAGTGAGAAGTATCTACAATTGATGAGCAATCAGAATCTGCTAAAAGAATACAAAGTTAGCAAACTTGATTTCTACGAGCATTGCATTTTGGCAAAGCAACACAGGCAGAAATTCCCAACCGGAAATCACACGTCTACACAAGTACTTGAGTATATGCACTTAGATTTGTGGAGATCTTCAAGTACAACAACACATGGCGGCATCCTCTATCTTATCTATCATTGATGACTTCTTTAGAAAAGTTGGGATATATTTGTTAAAACACAAAATCAAGCTTTTGAGAAATTTAAAGAATGGAAAATTTTGGTTGAGAATCTAATTGAAAAGAAGGTTAAGATTTTAAGAACGAATAATGGTCTTGAGTTTTATGATGCTAAATTTGATCAATTTTGTGCCAATGAGGATATTCAAAGGCATAAAACCTTCAAACTAAACTCTCAGCAAAACAGAGTTGTTGAGAGAATGAACATGTCAATACTGAACAAGGCAAGAAGCATGTTATTCAATTCCGGGTTGGGTGAGGAGTTTCTTGGATGAGGCAATGGTCACAACATATCTTGTGAACATATGCCTTTCAAGTGCCATTGAGGTCAAAACACCAGAAGAAAAATGGAGTTCAAGGCCATCCAATTTCAATCACTTGAGAGTGTTAGAATGCTCTTCCTATGTTCATCAAAGTCAATGATCAATGTGAGAACTGGGAGACACATAGAGAGAGTGTATCATGTGTGAGGAAGTATTAGTCTTGCTCGGGAAATAGGAGTGAATTTTTCGTGTATGTATTTCTCACTAGACTGAAACCTTGTAATGACTGGAGGAAGGTCAAGTCGGACGAAATTGATCTTGGATATATATACTCTAATTGCCTTCATTGAGGAGTTGGTGGGGACTAGGCTTTCAAGCTGAACCTCGTCAACAAATGCTTGTGTTTGTATGGTGTGTGTACTGTGATTTTTCTGTAGGTCATGGGTATTCAGATCCCTATATTTGGTATCGCTCGAAGTGTCTTCTTTCGTGGCAAGAACAAGTCGAGAAGAGTCTTTTCATACTTTGGAAATACCCGGTAACAGTTTAGGATTGCCAATGGTTTCTTGATCCCCTACCTTTTCGCTGAAGGCCAAAATATAGGAGACAACTTATGAAGCTGTTTGTCCAAACTGAATACTATTTTATGGATCATGATCGTGTTTGTAAAGAGCTCTATCGAAGCATAGAACGAGGCAAGATTGGACGAACCTAGCAACGCTCACGGAGGCTGAGCCATGGCCCTGCTTCAAACCTGAAGGCATGGTCGGTACAACCTTCGTTAGTCCTGAGGCCCATAGAAGGCAAGGTCAACAGAAAGATGCTCATATCTCATCTTCCCAAGAGCTCACACAAACGGATGTGAACCAAATCTACCCTCTCCAAGACCATCTACTCTCAGACCACTTGCAGTGCCCCAAATTCTTGGAATAGTCCATGGATCATTGTATTGCACAATCAGGATGGATGTAAATTATGCAGATGCAGACGAGTGCCTTTAATCTTAAACAAAGTCGGCAGAACTGATTATCATTCCTTGTATCGGAATTTTTCCAAGGGTAACTATTCTGAGTGCAGAGCTTTCGAGAAAAGAGAGGACTTTTCGCCAATAAAATATTGAATCGATTCGAAACGTTTACGGCTTTGCAAACCAAAGCTTTTGGGGGAGGAAAAGAGGCAATACAAACATGCACCATAAAATAATACTTGTTCTCATGATGTACAACAGGTACCAAGAATTTTGTGTATACCCAGGCAGATGGTGCGGGGTTTCCGGGTATGTGATGCGAATAGCAATGGATATGTCCACGACACAATCGAACTCACTTCATTGTGCAGTGAATTTAAAGCAATTAAAGGTTAAAAAAGTCAAGGATACACCAAAGCTTCAGCTACCTACTTTGATATACACTGTATATCTTACTTCAACAACCAAGCTGTCAGATAAGGAAGCACTTTCAGACGAGTCATAATTCCTAAAAATTAGTGATCAGGCTTGCCATAGTCTACCTTTGACATGAACATAAGCAACTCGCTGGGAAGAAAAAATTCGTTCGTCGCTACAAACGAAGGTTTTTCCAGACTTATACTGTAACCACCTTCTAGCTCTTTCAAAAACGTTAATTTTGTAATATTTCCCGAAAGATACTTGTGTTTGCTAATGTATACAGACGAACGGTCTGGAATTTGCCCTTCAGATTTTCCAAGACATCTTTAGGAATCTCCGATTTGAGTCAGGTTCCTTGGTATAATATCCTCACCAGTTCCCCTAGTATTTCTGATTTTCATGCCATTGAATGATAGTTTGCAACTCATACTCAGGATTCACTTCTATCACCTCAAAGCACGGTGACAACATTTTCTTATGACACAAACATCAACGAAATATTTCTTCAGTGAGGAAACATCAAAGGATGGATGAATCGCGATATGTTGGGGTAGATCCAATGTTTAAATGGCCTTTCTGAAACAGTTGTGTACACTGTCTTGCAGACTTGTGTCATAGTTTCCGAGTGAGCGTCCAGATGAGGTGAGAAAATTGAAAATGGATTCCAGCTTCTCCAGCAGGTGTAGTTTCAGTGAGCCTCAGCTTTTGACTTGAAATTCATTCTTACAAATTTCAATCGTCCAAGTTAGTTTATGGAAGCTCTCTGAGAACTTCTGTCAACTCACATTTTCTTTGACAATCTATGTGGTGTCAGCTCAATTGGCCAATGAGCATGGTCGTTGAAGGAGTTGCCATGCATGAACCTACGAATGATATATTTCCAGCGAAATATATTTGATTCTTGAATGCAGATGTGCTCCTACAAATTCCAAGATATTCGGTGAGTTTAGAAAGTCACGTCATAGAATGATGAGTGTTCTTTTCTGAAAACTGCACTTTCTCGGTGAGGTACTTAAGACAATTCAACCCAAGCCTCAACATTATAAGAAACTGCACCATGAACAGAGAATTATAAAATTACACTCCTTGTTTTATGACTACAGCTTACCGCTCCACAAGATTTCAGGCGATGATCGTCACCAGTTGATAAGAATATACGTACGCACAAGGAGCGGATGACTAAAGGAACTTCCAAGTCTTCAGCAGTCTTTCAAGAACGAATAGTGTACAAGTGCAGTACTACAGGCTGGCTATAGAAAAATATTCCATCTTTCAAAATAAGCTCATATGTCCGGAATCAGTTTCACAAAATTTGTCATTCCATATCAGCCCATATTATGGTGAGTAAGGAATAAATGAAAAATGTTGGAGAATAGTAGTGTACCCAGGCAAACAGTTCTCTATACAGGCACACCCTTCAGACTTCTCTGACAAGGATGATCAGAACATGACAGGCTCATCTGGCAGCCCATAAAAAATTCCAGGCCGAATGTGAGAACAAGGTGTATAAAGGCCAGCTCAAAACAACACTCTAGCAGGCTGAGTAAGATCTTCCTCCTTTTCCATCAGTTTGTCACCACAGGTCCAGACTAGCTACAAGTTCCACGTTCGAAGTCGAAAACAGAAAACAATCATGACCGTCTCGAAGGCTGATCGCAGGTCCAGGATGCTGCATGGCCTCGTCATGCGTGTGCTCATTTACAGCACGGTCCTAGTGGTGACGGTGGGGAGAGTCGAAGCTGCCGATCCCGATCCTCTCGTCGACTTTTCAGCAAACGCTAACACGCCAGTATTCCGCGACATCTTTGCCAATGGAGATGTAACTAATGGATCTGGAGGCGTTCGAGCGGGTCTCGACATCGGGAAATTCCCTGGCCTTACGTACGGCTATTCATACAGTGAAATGCGTTTCGTGCTGTTTTGTAAATCGGACTTTCGGATCGTAGAATGGAAAGTCTGCTGTTCACTAATCAGGAATTTGTCTGTTCTGTGTCGAGCATTTGCAGGTCCGAGGGTCTGACCGTCGTACAGTTCAAAATGGTTCCATGTGGAGAGAACATACCACACACGCACCCACGTGCTACAGAGCTCCTTTCGCTGATCAGCGGCGGCCCACTCCAGGCTGGTTTCGTCGACACCAAAGGTTCTGATAATTTCAACACTGGACTTTGCCATTTCCTCGGACTTAATACAATAGATCGAGTGAATGACGGTTTAACTTCCTAACATGTGGTTTCTCGACTTCTGGATTGCAGGAGAAGCTCATATCCACATTTTGTACCCGGGAGATCTCATCGTATTTCCTCGCGGGTTGATGCATTTTGAACTGAATGTTGGTACAGAAGAGGCTTTTTACATTTCTGCTCTGAATAGCCAAAATCCGGGCACTCTCGTAAGTCTCTTTCTATTCTTCAATTTGTTGCTTTACAAGACTGATTTGCTAAAATGTGTTGTATCAAAAGATCAATCCACTACAGGAATAGGAATCAGGTACATGTACATTATATGTACATTGGGTCCAACTATTTAATTGCACACACTTGTCCATGGTTGGTAACAATCTCTTCTTCTTCCAGGACTCTGCTGGAGCAGTTCTGCAGTTGCCGGATCGAGCAGCTGCCATAGCTCTCAATCAAGATCTAGACACCGTCCGAGCCTTGAAATCACAGAAATCTTACAATGAGCCCCCGACTCTCGAGGCTGCCAAGCCAGGAGTGTGTGTGCCCGGCCAGTTCGTTACCACCAGATTCTAGAGTGTGGACAGTACCATATGTAGCTCAAGAAACCTGACACGAGCCCTTCTTTGCTAAAGATGTGGAACTTCCTATCTTCCTCCAACCTTCTTCATATGGATTAGCTACCGTCAACTCTTTATGCTTGACATACTCCCAAAGCGTAATTTATACAGTCAGGAGTGTACTCTTAAAGTATCTGTTCATTCTGCAGTGGACTGTACTGTTTAGGATTGGGATACATTGTCTTCTAATACATCAGCGGGAAGATACAGTTTTAACTTTCGAGCTAATCATTGGAGTATCTTGTTGCTGCCACTTTCTGAGCACATCCTGAATTCCGTGTTCCACCATCAGATGTTATGCGATGAAAAAATATAATTTTTAGGTTTACTTATGGCAACTCCTCAAAACTAACTTACGATCGGACTCGCTCATTAGAACAATACTTCTCTGTGCTTTTAGTAATTATGTCGCATACAAAAATGCTCACATGAAGTGAGTTTTTTTCATGTTTTGGTCATCTACTTAGCCATCGTTGTAACACACTTCGAAACGCCACACCATGTCGTTGGAAATCCATCGTTTGCATGTAGAGAATAATCCGAGCACCAGCTGTAGATCTCGAAATCAGACGATCATAGGAACATGCACAACATGCATCGTGTGCATGTTTGCAGTGACTCTCCCCTCCTGCAAAGCTTTGATTTCGAAAGCATGAGACTCGTCAAATCAGTTCAATTCGTGCATTTGATACGGGAAACCTATCTTCTCTCCCAGGCTCTTCATGCGCAAGATATGGCTTCGAGAAATATGGATATGTAGACATACTGATCAGATAGTCGTATTGACATCCTCTCGATATATGTTCTACGGTCTGATTACTTACATTACCGCGTTCTGTTGTGAAAGGGTAATTGACATACTACTAATAAGTAGAGTCGTATATCTCGATTGATTGAAACCTTATAGCTTTTGAAGGCTCTGTAGTTAAGCGAACATGAGATCTACATTCTATAAAAGCTTTAACATGATAGTAACCGCATTTTTATACTGTACGCATGCATTTGTTGCACCAGCCAGAAAAGTAGCTTCGATATATCGACTTTGGGGGAGTTCGTGTCTACAGACAACCGGACTATGAATATATTCAAAATGAAAATTCCAAGAAAACGATGAGAAAGGTTGCACAAACATGCTGAGGTTGCTCCAAATATCCGGTGCATTCATAGCCGAAGATGGTATTAAGCGCGTGTCAGAGTTAATCTCTACATTTGAGGGGATTTGAGTAATACAACACAACCTCCACAATAGTATTCACTTACTTGAAAATTAATCCTTCCAGATGAAACATCAGAGTTGGTTGCAAATAATAAACAAATGTGTGGATCATTCTATGATTAACTATTTCGACAAGTAGCAGACTCGATATCAACTCGGCCATTGGTCAATTATCCATGTCCGACCTCACGAACAGATGAGGAGCTACAAGGGCTGACGCGAAGCTGCCTTCAAATCGGGCTTCTCTAATCCGAGAATACAAGTGACAATGATCTCAACACGCTGTAATGGCCTACATCTGGAATCAAATCAACAACTCACACCTGCGCTCGGTACAGCGCACTACAAGCGGTCCGAGGCCAGACAGAAGATGCTATCGGAGATGGTAGATTTGGTTCACATGATTTAAGACTACGATGTACTGGACCGATAAATGTCAGGCTTATATTCAAACTTATATTAACTTATATTCAAAGGATAAAGCTTCGTGATTCTGCAATAGCTATGACAACATGCAAAAACTGAAACTCAGAAGAGCAGTAGAAAAGAGGTCACAACACGTTTTTTGAAAAGTTCTGCTCCATTTTGGGAATGTCCACTGCTCCAAATGTCGGTGTTCTCAAGGTTCTCTGCATGCCAAACTTTCCTTCGGTGTGAACCCCTGAGAAGAATAGTGTCTTCCCGCTATTCTTCGGTCCTTCGTCATAACAAAGGTAGTGCCGGCTAAACGGCAAAAGAGCGAAAGGTAATATTACAAGAAATGGCCAAAGAAAAGGACTGGTGGAAGCCGCATCTCTGGGTTATCAGAGCGAGGTTTCGATCCTCGGACCTGTGGGTTATGGGCCCACCACGCTTCCGCTGCGCCACTCTGATTGATACTAAGCACCTAAAAATAAAAATATTTATTTTCTATTGGTTAGGTTGATGAAGTTTGCAAGACAGTGTATACAAGACAACAGAAGTGAGAGAAATATCAATGTTGGAGATAAATCTTTGGTTGCAGACGTGCCTCAAGTGTCTCAGCTTTTTCTCTGCAACTTGTGTAATGTTCCTGATATGGAAAGAGAGCTCAACTCTGTATCTGTAAATGTTACTGATTCAATTGGGCATTCTGGCTAAAATTTGATTTCAGCTAAGTTCTTGATGGAAACGTCAGCTCTGTGTCAGAAGTGCAAGATCGAGACCTTGTTTATCAGACATTGTAGACTCAAGCTTCTCTTGGGTGAATATGAATATGAATATTGATCTCAGATCTCCAAACCAATTGACTAAAACCACAGCCCGGAAGACTCATCTAACTGTCGATAGTAAATTACTCAGTAACACTAATCGTTTGTCTACACAGTAACCAATAATAACATCAGATACAGCAAAAGTAGGTTTTTGAATACCTGAACTATGTACTTCTTTCCATGTGGATGTTTTTTCATGAATACAATGAAGTATACATCTCTCGCTACTTTCACTATTTGTCAACAAAAATTTCTAATATCTTCAGATTAAATTGTTTGATTGTTCATAGACACAAGAAAATTAAAATCTAGCAAAAAAGTCACGATATTATTCAAAAAAAACTTTATTTCATAAGTTTGTACATTTTTTTCTCATTGCCATCTATTTTTGTCTTTGTCTCATCTATTGATGCCATCATTTGTGAATTCATTGATGATTTTTATCAAATTGGCACGAAAGCATGGAAACACGAGAGTACACGCAAAAAGTAGCGTGTATCATCACTCAGCTACGTCCACAATAACACGAGTCTCAACTGAATAAATTTGAAAGGGGCTAGCCACCAGAGCCCAACATTGGGTGCCCATATTCATGCCCATGGGTTCTGGGTGACATTTTTGGGTGGTCACAAGTAATGCTAAGGGCAGTTTTTCTCAAAATCCAACCAAGAATTTGAGTAGCATGGGTGGGCATAGATCGCTGCTGATGGTTATGGTCTGGTCTTGGTGCAGATTTGAAGTTAAATTTTGGCCTCTGCTAGCCACATCTTGCTGCCTTTAGTAATAACATCCGAGCCCTAAAGTGGTTGACACAAGTGACCCAAACTTGTAACTAACAGCCTACACAAGTTAAAATCTAACACTTAATAATTGCTATTTACCAACTTTTTGTTGTCAATTGTTTTGATTTTTGTCATTTTTTGCAAGAAGACCAAAACTTTGAAACAATTGCTTCAATTATTCAATCTTTGGTTTCTTTGAATAATTTGTGTCATGACATATCATTTGTTGTAATTTTTTTTTTGGCTTGAATAATTTTTTTATTTATATTAGACACTCAAAGAAGTTTGATTTTTTTTTTTGAGTGAGTACTTATTTCATCAATGAAATATTTGAATATAATGTATCATGGACCATTTTTGAAACTATTTATAAATTCATGACTGAAGAGATTATATGATACAATGTTTGGACACAGACTTGTATGTGAAACATCAATCTCTTTGAAATCATATTGCTTTGTCAAAAATCCATATGAGATAAAAGTGAGTGAAATAAACTCTAAGATTTCATTCATTCATCTATCTAAGAACTATTTTTAGCAGAAATTTAACTCCATTTTAATTTTGTTCGCAAAAAACCTGACATATTTTTCCACATTATGTTAAAAATTCATAGCATTGAATTTCCATCCATCTAATCATTTGTGTAGCAATAATTTATCATGATTTAGATTTTTTTTCTTACAAATAGTTTTCTATATCTTTGAGCATCTTTGTAGCATTTCCGACAACCATTTGGGGCATGTTCATAGTACTTTTTATTAGTCATTTTGGATCTCTTTGTACCAATAGCAATCTGACAATTAGACTCATCATTATTTCTCTTTTTTATTTGTTTCAACTAGTGTTTGTGTTACCACACAATCGCATTATGTAGTAATCCAATCAAAAATAATAAATCTAAATAAAATCAATCAAATTTAACAAAGATTTGAATTATTTCCTAATGATATATAATAAAATGAATGAATTTGTCAAAATTGAAGTTAAACTCAATCATTATAATTTTCTATCAAAATAATTATCCTGAAATTATATATCATTATGTAATATTGCAAGCTTTGCATATGTATCTATTAATGTTCTTTCATCATGGAAGTAACTTAGCAACTCCGGGCAGAATTGATGTCACTTCTCATAGAACCTTAGGGTGGCTTCCGCCACCAGTCCAAACCAATAGTACTGAAGAAAGGAAGAATAGATCGAGAAGAAACGTATTTTTGATTACGTAGTACGTAGTTACTATAACATCTTGTCCTTATATTTCGCTATATTTTGAAATCAAAAATTCTATTTGTTTGTTGGAGGACGGATATCAATATAATTATTTTCATTTTTATATAATACTTCACTGACTCATATGATTATAATTTTCTTATAATTGACATAAATTTATTCAAAAAAGTATGCGAAATTCTTGCAAGTGATTGTTTTAGAGTTATCATATAGATATTAGAGATAATAGATCTCAAGACATAAGTTAAAGATTAATTATTCTTGATAAATTCATATTTTTTTCACCTCATTAGTTTGAATGTGATTGATTGTGCAAGATTATAAGATAGAAGTATTCTCTAATTCAAGTTACTTCAATCCAAGTTTGGATTTAAATTAAAATGTCACTATAAAAGAGAGCTAGCAAAGATCTTGTTGACACAAATTAAAAAAAGTCTATGTGTTACCGTGTACGTAGTCTACATAGGCAAACCATGTATTTCAGTTGCTTGTGTGATTGTGCGTTATTTATTTATTTATTTACTTTATTCTCCGTAACAAATGATACAAGAATGATTCACGTTAGAGCAAAGGTATCAAGAAGAGGTTAGCAAATGTGGAAAGATATGCTAGTTTGGAGCAAGAAAATCATAATGAGATTTCCAAGGATGGAATAAAAATGCTACTTTGGTTTCTCAAGCGTGAGTTTTGAGCTGTAATTATTGGTGTGACGAGGCTTAACGACGAGCCTTATGTGTATATTTTTGTGTAATTTTTTTTATATCAAGAAATTTTTGTATTTGTTTGCTAAACGTTATTGGCATATCAAAGATAAAATTGAATACAAGATGAGAAACAAAAAAAATAAAAATAAAAATAAAATTTTTTTAAAAAAATTCATCAATTTTTTAATCTTCAAAGAAATATTTTTGAGATCCTATATCACATTTAGATAATTTTTACATTAATTAAATTTTTTATTCATTATTAATTATATAATAAATAAATATTATCGTCACGAAAAATATTTTCTTCAAATCATTCTTTATGAATCTATAAAAAATTAATAATGTTTGTATTCAAAAAATGTATTTTCACAACATGTATCTAAATTATGTTGTCTCTTACTTTTAGCACAATGATTTTGACTTTTTAACATACATTCCTTGCAATGAAGTTAGCTTTTTTCTAGTATTGAACTAGAAACTGTATTTCTTGAAGAGACTATGGTTTATTTTTATGTTGTCATATTATGCTTACTTCCCGTGTGATCAGAATTTAGGCTCAAGGATTCATTATCTATGCCAATTATAAAGTTTCATGCTGGTTGGTTGTATTGTGTAACATCATCAATTCTAATTGAGATTCTGATCGATATTTTCAAGAATTTATTCATAGCACATGTTAAATTATCTCAATTTGTTACTCAACACATTGAGCATGTAACGGGCATTGTTGTACTCATGAATGCACTCACAATAAGTGTATGTGCTGTTTGGCTTCACTCCATGGCACCATCTACTATATTACCAAACACAATGTCTACATTGTCTCTTTGCATAGGATTCAAGCCAAAATCGTGATGGACTCTCACATGAACTGCATCACAACAGAAATAAAAAACTTATGCACGGATTATATCCTAGCTTTACCGCAGGTAAAGTTAGGATGTTTTGAATTGTGACAGCATTAGGTGATTCGTACTTTGTGGATGTCAGTGGTGCTAGTGCGCGCATGAACTCTCTTAGCTTTCTTTGGCGACGTATGTGTATGAGAATGATAAAATATGGGGATAGGATTTTCAATGCTTCACTATTCTATGCATATACCTGCGGATGCTTTGCACCCTCCTTGGATGGGCTTGACATGATGCACTTGTCTCTGCATGTCTTTGTGCTTGAACTTAAAGCTAATGGAATAAGCTTTTTAATGATTGACTTTTAGTTGCAAGTCAAGCTAAGCAAGAAGTCTTTCATTGGAACTTCCCTGTTTTTGCAGATGATTTGCTGGCTTATGATCGTTACACTTCATTCTATATGTGAATAAGGATGGTATGTAGGAATTTGTTTTTGGTATCGTCAGACTTGATAAATGTATTAATTTTTCCCACAAAATTCATGTGGCTTTTAACGACTTTGTCTTATGTCGAGATGGTAGTACAGTAATTATATTTCTAATATTTCATATCGATTATCTTCATTGAATCCTTTTTAATATTGCGTAATATAGCAAACTATATGAAAAATGCTATCAGTTTCTATTTACGATAGTGTTTCATCTCAAAGATTCCTCACGATTGTGATTCGGAAAATCATCCGGAAGGCTAGTGACTGCTTCAATCTCCTCTTTACCTTGATGAACTAAAGCTTCTGCGAGGCAGTAACCCAATGCTCGGGCTATGGGTACAGACACAGCGTTGCCAACCTGGACGTACCTGTATCACTAGGGCACATTAGTTCATGCCAATAAGTAACGACTTATAATGCAAGATCTAGAGATACTTCTTTCTTTTGGTGTTCGTATCGAAAGGAAGGACATCATGTACCTGTCTTCAACAGAACCACAGAATTTGTAATAGTCCGGAAACCCTTGTAAGCGCGCGCATTCTCTTACTGAAAGAGTCCGATCTTGATCTGGGTGCAAAAGGCGCTGCATGATGCAATTCATTGGGTGATTACCTTGAACAAATTGTACGCATGTATTGATTGATAACTGGTCAACAATGCACGCAGTTGTGTACCTGACCATGAGGAGACGCTCCAGTGCAGACTGTGCCTACTGTCTCATCCCACCACAGGCGACCGAATGACCTAGAAGCAACAGAATGTCATAAGTACTGATTCAGCACAAAGCTGTTATAGATTCAACAAATAGAATACTTTATGAAAATCTAAAAGTTTCACCACTAGCCTCAAAGAAAGGCACTCACTGTTTGTTCTTCTTTGCTTTCCATGTGAGAGCATACTCCGGTACCTGTGAAGCGAAACGGAGTTCAAAAAATTGTCTATCTAAGATAGACAATTTTTTGATATATCCCTAGTATGTACAAACAGATTAGATGGTCTCAATAAAAGAGATGTAAGTGATCATGGTGTCCAAGTTACCAGTGGTTTGCCAGATTTGCACGTTTGTCTGTTTTCTCTCTCAATCTCGTGTGTTCCATCCGGCAAAATCTTAACTCCGGGCAAGTCACGGAAGCTTGAACCCTTCACGAACAACAAATCAATGGTGTAAAGAATACGAAGTGAGTATGTAAATATAAAAGAACAAAATTGTAGTTCTACATGCAAAAGCATTGAATTTTCAGTTCTTTTCATCGATAGATCACCTTTCTTCTAGGAATAAGGCATGTCCTTTCAAGATCGTCTTCATTTAGTTTGAGGGGACGATGATCCAAGACTTTTACTGCCTTCCATTTTCGAGGCTTGGTCTCAAGTTGAAGCTCTGCATATTGACCAGATGTATCAAGACTTTTCAATGACGACGTAAGGAGATTGCAGAACTTAAAGTACTCTCCTTGGGTGTATCAACAGTATGAATTCGATAGAGAATTTGATTACCATACTGAGGCTTTCGCAATAACCTTTGAAAAGGGTTTGTTGGTGGAGTCAGATAATCCATTTCTTCTCTTTGCTCAAAATTATCAATCTGTTGAAAAAGAACAGAAATGCTTGTGATATTCAAGTAAATTCTATAACTTCTTAAATTGATAACCTAAAGTCATCAGATAGCACATCATGATCAGCTTTATTTACTCTTGCAAACTGGACTGAACTGCGGAGATTTTGAAATTAGTCATTTATGCAGAGTGGAGCTGAAATAGTACCGGCGGTAAATCGGTCAAAGCATCCTTCAAAGTGATATGTCTTCGAAGCCTGGGTATTTTATCTCCAAACCACACAAGATTTTTCTGCACAAAGATTAATGTACTCAGATAATAAAAATGTAAACGAAAAACCTTACTTCTATTACAATTTCTCTCACAGAGACATTGTAAGAAAACGTACGAGGTGGAAATTTCCTTGTGGAACACTTGATTGACTTCACCATTGTTCGCAGTTGATAAAAATCAGTATACTTTCATTGGATGAACAAATCCATGAGTCACGTAAAGCCAATTTACAATCCCCATCTACATTTAATAGGTCTTAAGGATGCTAAAAGTAAAGTAGCCAGCACTTATGTTTGACATACCGTCAAGTCGGCGGGGACACCCATTCGCACCTTCTCCACGTCGTGTGTTGGCAAGGGAAATGCAGGCAGCACCTACGGGAGTAATATGTACGAATGGAACTAAATTATAAATCACCTAGTATACATGAGTGGATCGAATGTCTTGAATCTATGTATGCAATATTAGTATTTGTTTATCAATGTCATCAAGTAGGTCATTTCGCAATATACAAATGCCCCTTCATATTCTTCGCACTAAAATATATCATGACTTATATATTACCTCAGCTTTAGCAGCTCCCCATAGAAACACTCTCTGACGATATTGAGGAACTCCGTACCTTCCAGCTGCCATTAAACCAAGCTTGGCCTGCAAAAGTTTAGGAGGGGTAAATAAAAACGCTCTCTTGAACAGATTTGAGAAAATTCTTAACACCAAGCAAATAGTTTGCCCTTACAAATTCAAGTTACTTGCGCTACTGCAAACCATTTGATTTAGTAACTAACCAACTTATTTAGAACTGACCATTGATTCATAACAATCCACAATTTTTCCAGGCCCTTTAATATTTGAGGTAAGTAACTTATAATAGATTTAATTAACTTGAGAGCAACACTAATGTCTTAAGTAATGATTTTTGTACGCTGTTTATAACTTACATGACTCTTGGTTTACATTTTGAATTTATCAACGATTCTCTTCACATATGGTATCCTGAATAACAATAATTCATACATCAACTGGTAATATCAAATGTTTCTGGATTCTAGAATGATGGAAATGTATTGTTACCTGATAGTTCATTTTCACTAATCTGGTTAATGCATATCTTCCAACAACTCCATCGCCAAATCGAAGAATGTCTACGACATTCTCCATAATCATGAATCTCGGTTTGAGGAATTCAACGATGTCCATGTACGTAATGACTTGTTTGTTCTTCCCACAGCGAAGAGGCTTCTCTGTATCACGATGCAGGTTCTTGCCAGACACGCCTTGACAAGGGGGACCACCGCATATCACGTCACATTCTCCCTATAATATATATAACAAACACAGCAGGATGAATCAAGTTTCTGATCCTCAAATCATTGCGTCTACATTTTTCCTGTATTTCAGACTTCAAAAAGAGAAAGTGTAGTTGGAATAGATTTGTACGGATTTATGACTACACTATATGATTCGTTTACGGATCAGTATGAAAGAAATGATATGTTCACAAATCATAAACCTATCAGCTACAAATAATGAAGACATTTACTGTTCTCAGCAAAACACTTCATAAAAGCACAATTTTGGGCATAGAAGCTTTACAGGTCGAGGTAATATTTTTCTTGCTCTCCCGGACAAAATAAATCTCTTCAAGATGTCTGAGCAATTTCTGAACATTTGGAAAAAATATATTAGTTGAACATCCGAACCATGAAGCACATCAGACGCTTGGATGGACCATAAGACCTGGAGATGAAATGCTGAGAGCAAGCTTATTTTATGAAAGAAATAAGCGGAAAGTTACTTCAGATTCTCTTCCGGCTCCCACGTATCATCTTGTGGTTTTTTGTATCCCTTCCACTTCACCTGAAACAAAAAAGTGATTTTTTCTTCAATTAGTCTTCTCGAGAGTAAAGTTCACGATAGAGAGCCGAGACAAAAGTCTCGGCTGAAGCCAGAAACATAAGAGGGAGAAAAAATGTTACCGACTTAAAATTTACAGGTTTTACTGTAGGAGAGACTCAGTTAAGACAAAAATTCGGAAATTTATAACTAGATTTGAGGTCACTCACTTCATTGTGTGATGCCTTAATGATAGGGTAAACAAAAAATACCCTGATCTTCAAACGAATGAATGATTGAATCTAGTTCAGATATTCATACTACCAACTTGAGTCGAGTGTTGTCTCACCTTGAATTGGATGTGTCCTATCGTGTTCTCCCGACTCTTCCCTCTTTTGGACCATCGTATGGCAAGAATATCTTGAACTTCAAAAGTTTGAGGTTTAGAATCCTCTTCTTCGCTGTCTTCATCCTCAGTGTTGGAACCCAAATGAACTTGTTCATCTTCGGGAAATCTTTCGCAGAGCTCATCCCATTTTTTAATAAGCGATAAAAAGCATTCAGCTTGACAATTATAGACCTGAAGATCCAAATGCTGCTAGATTATACCAATAATTTTATCGCGCTCATGTGCAAATCATTTACATAAGAAGAAACTTCAATTCTACAATCTCATCCTTAAACTTCATATGCATTTACACACGTAAATAAAGAGGACTTTCTGGAGAACAAAAAGAAAGGGCACTAAAGGAGAGGACCTGTGTCTTCGGATCGTTAAATTTGATGCTCTTGCATGAACTTTTATTTATGTCCACGGCCCATTGCTGTCACCCAAAGATAAATAAGACTGTGATTAACATGCGCAGGTTAAGTTTCAAGTTCTACTAGCGAATCACTGACGCAAAACTTGTACTTAACTTATATTCCCAAGGAACGTCTGCTCAATCTTGTTGAGATCTACTCTACTATAGACAGACATCAACCATACGTATACTTGAATCACACATAGGTATGCAAAAAAAGTAACTATTACTAGTAAAAGAAAAGGTTCGAGATTACCGTTTGCATTTTGACTTGTCTCAAGCGTGCTCCCATACACAAGCCAGTGGACATACCTCCACATCCACAATATAGATCTAGCAACAACGGTTCCCTGGATCTGTCTTCTGCAACCATTCCTTTGCTCTGCTTATCTGTATCGATTTATAGGATACAAAAACACGTAGCCAAGACAATTATTCCAGCATTTTCAAGAATTAAATTGTGCTTCGTCCCAATACAATTCCAGATAAAATATAATAACATTCAATAAGCCTAGTCATCGTAGAACGCTTTGAACTGAATCATGTATTCTAGTCTTACCTTCAGGCAATGCATAAAAGGTCGAGTACTCTTCTTTGTATCCCATCGTGTAAAAGTAGATCTTTTTGGGAAATACCCAATTCAAATGTTGAAATCTCTGCATGCGCCAGTATCGGTGAGAACAGAACATGTTCCGTGAATGTAGTTTCCTTGGAATTTTCCCAAATACAAGATGTAAAGAACACTCTCATCCATTAGAAATTAAGTTCGGCAAAGCGTACACACAGGAGACACATTAAATGCATGATTCACAATATTAGTTTGTCCAGGTACCTTACCAGATCCAAGTGCAACACTCTTGCTTTACTTAAGAGGCATTCTAACAATTCGTCTGACTCGAAACTAGAGTAAAATAACAAGTTTTCATGTAGCTCTCCCGCATCCTCCACAAGTGATCCACTTTTAGCCAGAACCTGAAATTATGGACAAAAATTGTGGTACATGAATATAGACGTTATCATTCATATGTCGATAGACTATCATACATCGAACTAACAAAAGAATTTGAGTTTCATCTAGATTTCGAAGTTCATAAACATCATCTTAAGGTAATTTGGTTGTCCGGCTGCAAGAAGTAAAACATTTGTTTTGATGTTCTTTATTTAAAATCCACATTGAGAATCATCATAAGACGATAGAAAATATAACATACTAAATATCCATGATAGTGCTTTCGTATTCAAGGATTAAATGCAAAGTGGCATGGACTGAAGATCAACATTTGTTCTTCTGGGCTATTAATAAATAACCTCACGTACTAGAATATAGACTTTCCACCCACAAACGTCAAAATTTAGAAATCTTCTCATCACCTTTGTATGTTAGTAGAATATAGACTTTCCACCCACAAACGTCAATATGTAGAAATCTTCTCATCACGTTTGTATGTTACAAAATCGTCAATACAATGTGGTGTTTAATACGAGGGTCTAAACACTGCCATGTCTCTATGTCTTTTTTTCTTTCTACATAAGATGTATCTTTCAACATACAACAGTCTTTAGATATCAAGGAATGAATAGATAAGGGACTAGACAGTTGTGCGGACAACATATAAATATAATCAGAAGCTGCAGAAACTGACAGTGTCCTCTGGCCGATAGAACCACTGAAGTCTGCACCAGCATGTCTTGTCTGAAGTTTCAAACAGTTCCAGAATTCTTGCTACATGATCCTTCTTGCTGCTCCCAGGCTCGGCCTAAGAGGGACAAGATTTCACACAACGTTAGTTGAATGTCGTACACGATTTTAGCATTAGAATATCTCTAAAAATCTGATATGACACGCGTTAGCACTACATAGACCTAAACCATCACAACACGAGAAAGTGATATTAAAACAATGAAAGGAACATAATAAACAAGTCTCTTACATTCAAATGAACACAGTCATCCAAATTAAAAAAATGGCCATCAACATTGGCCTTCGAGTAATGATTGACGTATTCCAGCTCAGTCTCTTTCGATCTGAAATTCCTGAAAATGTGTATCACCATTGGGCCCCAAGTTAGAACAGATACATAACACACATAAAACATTCGCGGGCGCCGTTCTAGTGAACGATTTACTTCATGGTGAAGGCAATTTGTAGAATAATGACTTTTCAGTCTATACAAATATTCATGTGAAAATTCAATCATCTTTTGAAGAAGCTGCAATTCATCGTTTTGCAGTCATGGCGGGGTACAAGTTCACAGTTGCAATATACTAATATTTATCAATTCTAAGTACTGGTTCTAAGTATTGTGAAGCAAATAAGACTTGTAAAGTTTTAGCCACAAACCTGTCGTTTGCAACAAATATTGCTGTATCCTCCCCGTCTGAAATCTGAAAATCACCAAGCCCTTTGAACATTTTATAAACTTGCAGACCACAAATTTGATTAAAAATTGACCTTCATCCAACCCAACTTGAAACTTATCAGTCAAAAATTCATATTGAGGAAATCAGTCATTATTGGAAGTTTTCGTCTAAGTACCAGAAGAATAAAGACAAATAACACGTTCCTTCACAATATCTAGAAAAAAATATCACATTTTCGTAGAGGCTAGGTAGATCGCGAGGCTTAAAATGTAGACAACTTTTAAGAAATTTATTACTACAGAACTTAATGTGGAGGCATAAATTCATGATCCGGTCAGTCCATTCAAGATCCTCCGAACATAGCTAGATGGTTTTTAATGATATTGAATTAGGGAAAGCCATTGTTGTAGGTTGAGCTTCACATGTGGAATCAGTTATGTTACTTGCAGAGATGCGCGTCTGTGTGGATGAGATTTGTTTTTATCGGAGCCTATTGCATCGTCAATATAACTCCAAATGTGGCCTTCACATGAAATTGGCTCTCAAAACCACAACTCAAAGTTTGACAAATCAGGCAAGATTATGATTCTCTCACCTTTGCTTCATCTTTATTCTTGTATCGATGAGGCCATCTTCTTCTAGCTTCGTCCATTTTCACAGCTGGTGGAAGAAAATTGCATGAAATGAACATCCTTTGATCACTTGACATATTGCAGTCGATTCCCTTCATAACAGACTGTACCTTCCCACCATTTCGGCTACCATTTTGCCTTTCACCCAAGAGCTCCCGTTCTGAGTCATTGATGCAGCTAGTGGCACTCTTTCCGTTCAAGGTATGCACTTCAGAATGAAGTCGATGACTATCCAAGCTATCAAGTCTTCTTCTCGAATACTTCAGCTTTTTTGGTGAAGAAAGGCTTGTTCGTAACAAAGGATCCGGATCTTCTCGCGTAGATTCTGGAAACGTAGTTGCAGTCTCCACATTTTCCTTGTCCCTCCAAAGGAAGTTCTTTCCTTTTTCTGATGTCCAAATCGTAGCATTTCCTTCAAGCGCATCAAATGATGATGAAGAGGTCTTGGATCTCGTAGATCTTGCTTCCGAGCCATGTAAAATCATCTCGGAGCATGCTCTTCTCCTAGGCGTCCAGGCATCCATTGCATCACAAACTTAACCTGAAAATCTCTGTGGTACAATTTCAGAAGGAGTAAATGTTAATACTTTTCCATTCTGGAAATATTCGTTTTCCTACATTGCGGTCATCTTTCGTTTTGTCGAGTTTACATCCTCATATATCCTAATTCTATGACCGCGATACTTATTATAAATCACTAAAGAAAATTGACTTACAAACAACACTAAAATTTCAAGACATCAAGAAAATTTGAGAACGAAGGAGATTGAAATTGTTGGGTCATATAAACATAGATCTTTTATTGGTCGACAGAATCAATTTTGGAAAATCCCAGAAACTATATCTACACTAGATTGTAAAAGCATGTTGACATTTCTAAATATGAGAAAGTTTGCAACGTGAGTCTACTTACCAAGCAGAGAGGTCACTCTATAGACTCACTATACAGATCACTGAGATATTTTCGCGGAATAACCTCTTCCTGTTCGTTGTAGACGAATGGGAATTCCACCAGAAAAGTACGCAATTCCAAGAAATCTGGACTTTGAGTAGTGTGCCACGTATCACAAAGTCCTCGTATGCTAACATGTTCTGCATGAGACTCCCATGTATCTTCGATAGACTAGAAGGTTCCGCTTTCGAAATTCGAGACTGAAGAACCTCTTGAAACTAGAAATCAAAAGCTACAACGGATGTTCAACCAAATATTCTTTCACAACGCCAATCCTAAGATCGCCTCGACAATACAACTACTTCAACCACTGACACATACGAAAGAAGCGCGGCTTAAAATGCGCTCTTCTTGACACATATGAACGTGAAAAATAAGAACTCGAAAAGACCACAACAGTCACGGAACCTCTGAGATCTGCCAGTATCAACTAGGCGATCACAGGGTCACCAAGCGGAACGATACACAAAAGAAGAAATCTCTACGCTCGGAAGTTCTCGAGACCATGGGAGCTCTGACTGAACCAAGATTGTGGAGGCTAATGAAAAGATCGAACTTCTCCTTCGACCAACGATAACATAGTGGGGAGACTCTATACTGTCCACAATCTCACCAAATTTGCATCTCTTATTCAGTGTCAAGGGCGGGAAGGTTCACCTTCTAAACTCAAGTTTATGATTCTCCAATTCGTGTTTGTAGGCGGGAGCATTCAAAGTCCAGATTCAAGACCGTGCTTCATGTAACGATCATTAAGATTTGCCAATTTAAAGCACAACAAAGTGACAGAAGTTATACTAAAAGTTCATGCTGGCATGGATAAATAGTGGCAGTGAGTATACCCGTGGCTTAAGCTCACATTAAGTTGATGATCTTGATTTGGATGTTTATACCTTACTGCACTAAAGTCAACCAGTATTTGTGCCACATTGTAAATCATATCAGTACGATTTGGAAGCATTGTAAAATAATAATGTCTCCATTATCAAGACAATCCATTTAGACATCAATTCTGTATAAAAAAATAAATTCTGTATAAACTTCATATATGTTAACTTTTCAAGTTGACCAATCATCTGTCTCCGAGTCCAAACCGAACTTGGAAAGTATCGTAGGCTTAACTGTTATTGAAGTTGAGGTCCAAGCCTCCTAAAATCTGGAGTTCTATTTTTAGACGCCAGAATTGATCTTGCCAAAGTGTCAAAAGAGGCTGTCCACGGGGATTTCCCGCGTCCATAGTTGCAAAACATATGTAACGCTCGAAGGTAAAGTCATGGAGAGGAGGAGAGAATTAGTAGCGTAGTAGATTTCGACGAGGACCGTTCGTGAACTGGCTAAAAGCGTGCGTGATCCGTAGAAAAAACCTGCGAGTCCGGTTCGGCAATTCGGGATTGCAAATGCGCAGGAAAATGGAATAAAGTAAAGTAATTATATCGGACATTGTGAGGTCGGCGGTCCCATCAAATTCCCATCCACTTATTCATCTTTGTTTATGGGACTAACTATCAACTTGGTTTACTATTAGTTCATTTTGTCAACCCATGCTGGAATTGCAAAGATTAAATAAGAACCAATTTGATTTCACTTCGATCCAAACACATATTGGAAGTTCAATGGAAATTATAAGAATAGGGCAAATGCCAGAATGAATTTAATTCTGGCAAACCTGGCGTTTGCCAAAATTTATGAGACCTGATATAGTCATATATCCATATATACTATTCAACATATGGAGAACAATGGGCATGCAGTAGATGTCTAGGAGGGGAAGGAGAATTTAAGATTGATACTTTATCCATCTCTGCTTTTATAACTTTCACTCTGTTCACCTCGGTACCTTTCTTCCAGGAGAAGGTTCTCTTTGTCCCAAGTGAGTTCATATTCACTCATGTTCACGTACATACAACTAAACTTGGGTGCATTTTACTTATTAAGATCTAAGGTTGGATTCTTTATGAATGTTTTCTTCAGAGAATTTTTATGTGTACGGATGTTTGAAGTGATACTTATCACTTCAAGTTGACTTCTGAGAATGGCATAAAGATTCAAGAAAACTGCAAGTAGAGAACGCTTCAACCGTTTCATTATTGAATCTTGATGTATTCTGATACGGTGCAAATAGATGACATCATAAATTGACATCATTATTTACAAAGATAAACCTGAAAACTTGCATGTTTGAATTCTTTTATCTTCAATCTATCTCAACCATCATAGAATTCACACTATCCACTACCAACTAAAGGAAGGTGGTAATAAACAAGAATCAAACGAGATCAAATTGGTCTTCAGGGAATAATGGACCAGGAAGCGATATTAAGGTTTATATCTTAATTTTTATTTTGGACCTCATGCCTCAAGAGTCCGTCGAAAATAGCTTCTACTTTAGTTCATTATGTTGTGAAGCCCAATTCCATAAAACAAACACAAGTAACTCAAACAAGAAACTAGGATCGCGAAATTATTTACCATCGAATGATAGGGATGTCTCTTAAACAAGCCGAATCCAAGACAAGACGCTTGCAGAAGTTCTCCTGAGTGTCGCGCAGACAGTGCTTATGTTTTAATATCCACATATCTTAGCAAGTTTCTACCTCCACTCTATACTTATTACACATCAAGCACACCTGCTTACAAGCTCATGTTTAAGTTATACAGTTTACGGTTCAATTACTGCAAAGTTTTGATAAACAGATATGTGCACGCTCTATTCCAATTCATATAGATACAGATATGTTTAAACTGTTATCCGAATTGTGACTTAGATAGATTAATCTCTGCTTAGATAGATTAATCTCTGCTTAGATAGATTAATGTCTCAATACATTATGTTGTATCAGTTCTAGAATTTTTATCATTCTGGTAGTTAAAGATTTTATTCTACTTTTTGCTACTAAAATATATATTTTTCAAAATTTTATCAGACTTAAATCATTAAACTACGTTTCCTTCATCAAAATTATGAGAGAAAAAAATAGATTATTATGTTTCATATTTTCGGACATTGGTGAGTTGATGAAATTACACTTTTCTTTATTTCTTAATGATATGTGAACGGACGTGAAATATACAACGAACTTCGGATGTCCAGTAGCGCTGGCGGAGTCCTAGTAGCATGAACTGAATATTAATATGCAGGTTCAGGGACGAAACTGCATAGGAAAATTTATTTCAAACTGAATCTCACTCATCATATTATCCAAAACAACCAAACGGGTGATTAGATGTCAAAATAAGCCGAAGTTCCTGATTAATTTTCAAAGATATAGGGATCCAAAAAGGAAATGTACATACTTATCTGATTATCCAACTATATCAAGTTGGAAATTATTATTCAGAGAATTTAAAAAGGGAGCACAATACAACCAACAATCGAAACAGCGATTGGATAAATAACCCCTTTATCATATTTATACAACCTTCAATCATTCTCCAAATAAACAGATACAAAAAATGTCATAAACTGGCTACAACTGGGAGCTAGAAAAGTAGTATATTTCTCTGGAAGGTACCAAAACGCTAAGGGAACATGCCTCACTGGTAAGAGTAAAGCCTTATTGCAGTGAAATGAAAAATTCAGAGCTATAACAACATAACGTCTGTAATGAGACTCGTGAGTGCGATATCGCTGTTAGTCCATTTGCGCCTTTCGCTTGCCTAGTCGAGAAGAACGATAGCCTGAGAGATCTGCTTCGCGAAGACTCCAATCTCCGCCGTCTTGGAAATCTTGTGTTAGTCTCATGTCCTTGATGGGAATCTTCAGAATCTCACACTCCGCAGGAAAATCCACCTCCACTTCAGTGCTGGGAGTCAGAATCAGATGGCTTCCTTCCATGGCATCTGTTGAGGTGACATCATCTACCAGAATGCCTTCCCACCACGCATCCTCGTACCAACAATCGACCCACATTCCTTTGAGCCACGAAAGGGGTCTGGGATATTCAAGAGGCTTGGGACGAGGTCTGATCGTCTGCTTCGCTGTTCTTGCTGCAGATTTCATCGAAGTCGTCGAGAGACTCCCGCCATCGAAAAGAGCACTCACTCCTATGGTTTCACGAAGTTTCCGAGATCCATCGTCCGTCAACAACTCATCGTACTCGACGATTCTTTTGCCGGGCAGAACTCCGACGATGACTGCTTCAAACCAAGCGCCGCGCAAACCTTTCTCCCTTTGTTTTACCTGAGTATTCAGACAGCACCTATTTAAATCAAAAATAGTGGTAGTTCAATAGATTAAAATAGTGGTGACAAAGCTTTCAGGATCAGGATTTGAGATAAATATCAGCGAGGTTAGCCACTGTGGATTCATCACTGAGTGTACCTCTACTTTCTCTCCTTCAAGAAATCGCCTTGGCACCGAAATCTTCGCCATATCCCATTCAGATGTATAGGTAGCAAGAGCATTAGGTGGTGAACTGATTCCTCCTTTAATTTCGCTGCCATCACCCAATCAAGATTTCGATTAAACAGAAGTGAAATAGGTTGCATGTTCATGGCCACACACCGAATAAGATCATGTGAAGTTTTAATGACGCACACGAAACAGATTGTCACCGGCAAATGCAAAAAACTTCAACAAGTTGAGTTCCGTGGAGAGAAGTAACAACCACTCAAAAGCAATGAACCATTCTAGCTAATTTAAAAGTCTACATATGGCAACTTCAAAGAGCAGAATGAACGAGGACCAGGAATAAGAAGTTTACATCAAAGACGGAAATGCGCGATGTGCTTCAGCATGTTGACGAAGCTCACCTTGGCCAAAACTTGAGTTCAGCATCTCTTCCTCACTCATGGAAGAATCCCTTTGATTCAAACGCTTATTCGTGGACTTCGATCGAGAGTGGTCATGCGTTTTATAGTGCAGGTATGTGGAAGGGAAAACGTTAGGTTATTATTCTGCACACGTTGCTCTGACTCTTGAATTGTCACACTACGTGCACTGTCGTGCTTTGGTGGTCTGATGAAATGCCAGACGTAAGTCTCTGGAAGCTCATCCTCATTCTGATGTTCGAGTGCTATAGGGAACATTTTCATTGAAACACCTTCGGTTCTAAGGACTTTTTCGACCAAGATTTTTCTTGTTTCTAAATATTAAACAATGCAAGATCTAATATATGCACCCCATACCAACGGAAAATATATTAGTATTGTGAAAATTGAAGAGTTTGCCTTTGTATAGAAGCCCTATTTTTACCTGCACACAATAAATCCGTGCCCTACTGCATGTGCAAAGAAACCTTTTCCAGTTAAATGCATCAGGACAATGCAGTGCAGTCCATTCCAAAACAGGTGGAAGGTGGGGATAGAACAGCACTCGTGTCCATAATGACCAAGGAACGGAGCGTACGGAAAGCGACCCAGCAAGCAAAGCAAACTGGAAGAGACATCCTGCCTGAGAAACGTCTGTGCAAGGGTGCGATTGGTGCTGAATAGGAATTGTGCATTCCTATCATTTATATGGGCTTGAGGGTTGCTTTCTATATATTAAACATCTCCAAAGAGAAAAAAAAAATACGAAAATCTAAATAAAGAAAGAGTAGGTTATGGAAATGACTCGGAAAAGTCATACAAATTGCTATATTACTTAATTTCGCTAAGCCTTGGTTGCAGGTTGATGGGTTTAGACCCTGAACAAGTTTTGCATCTCTAGTTCGGGTTGAAAAGAAATATAGATATAAATATATATCAAATAGAATTAGAATTCATTCTCAAATTGAGATCAACATATTTCGTATTCCTTTCAGATCGTTTTCTTAATCTATCATGAAAACGAGATAAATTAATGAAATGTATAAATATTTTATTCCATACATCTCATAGATTCGTTTTCATTGTATCGAAAATAAAATGTATATGATAGAAACGACTTTTGTCCTCTATTTACTTTATTAAGAGGCTTTCCGGAGCGTAAAGCATTTTCTCCACCAAGAAAATTCGTCTTTTCTCAACAAGAAGGTACGTTATTCCAGAGGAGAATATCTTTGAGAACTGTATTTGGATCATGGAATCGCATCTTGCAACAATCTTCGTTTGTGGCTCTGACATGGGCATGAATTATAAACAGTTAAGCATTAAATGTATATGAATGTGTAGTTCAGACTCCGGTAACTTTCCTTCGATATGAGTTATTCCTTAAAAATAACTGAGAAATTTTTCTTTGCGTGAAGAGACCTCGGGGTATATTCGTTTGTCTTCAAAACTTAGAGGGGATAAACAGGGAAGTCCAACTTTGAAATAAAGGCGCAGTTGGAAATGTAGAGCAAACCCTCGTTATGCTTATCACTCATTACATCTTCGCTATACGCACATTCTGCAGTAACTAATCACTTTCAGTTAAGTAACCTAGTTGTAATCACCACCACCCTCACTGTGATCACAGAGAAGTTTCAGACATCGTTATTTGATCTTAAAGGTATTATGTTAGTGGGTTGATTGACGAACGGTCAAAAAGTTTATGAGATTGACTGTAAATTTAGATCTAATTTCTGTAACATTGTTCAATATTGAGGGCTCTTTCAAAGTTGACTTTTGGATGAAGCAACCAGATATCAATGATTTCAAGACTTTAGCTAGAGGTGTGAGGAACTGATAACTGAAATTGCCGAACAACTTATCCAGTATAAACAGTACCCTTGTTGAAATACATGTCATCACCGTTCAACGAGACCATCACAAGAGGGTAGACCACCACCTAAACCATCGTTATGGGTCGTAACCCAGAACTTACGTTTGATTTTTCGACTTCAGCAGTGTTTCAGTATCGATCTATATTATACTGACTTATCTACTGTACCAAGTTTCTCTCCAACGCTATGCAAGCGACTCTACATTAGGCCGTTTGATACAGAAACTAGTTTATTCTAGTGGATGGTATTGGTTGTCAAAAACCAAGATAAACTCCAATACCTCGGTACACTAGAGAACGATCAATATGTGCTATTTTCAGAAAACCATGAGCAAGGACGCATGGAATATACAAGAGACGGAAATATGCATGGGGCGGAGATGTTTTGTTTCATGTTTCCCCACAAATGACTGCAGAAAATAGGAAGGGGGATGAGAAAGGATGACATTGCTTCCTCACAGTGATAAGAGCTAAGAGAGGGAAGAGACGACGAACATTACCATCCATTTAGACTCCCAAAAAACGTACTACAACTGAGACATTAGTGATTGTCTGATGAATTGCAAATATAATTTCTCTCATTCCAATCATTCACCCGCCTGAAGCTTGACATGAGAAAGCAGGGTCTAAAAAAAATCATTGAGCCTTGCTATACATGACGATACAGATTTCTGCCCTGACTGCGAAGTGTCTGTTCACAGGAAAATGAACGTCCGTAGAGAATTCTCGTTTTGAGCATGTTCTCAACCGGAAGACTGCCACGTGTTCTCCTGAAGTTCCATCTGAGGGCTTGACACTTATTCAACTGTTCCCTCGCAGAGAGACAAATCCTTCCCAGTAGCCTTCGCAAGCAGCAATGGCCACGATCAACCGAACAACTGAAGCTGGACAGTGCACAGCGGGCCAAAATAATTGTGGTAACAACATGGCAAACTTCCCATGCCAAGATTTATCCAGGAAATTATCATATCAGCTGATGCTCCTTCTAACTGTAATGTACATAGGCACAACTGGTTACATAAAAAAACCACTGCTCGTTTTGCCCTGACTTCTTGAACGAACCAAGTCATGTAAAATATTGACCCCTGAAAGCTGCAATAATATATCTTGGGTCCAACATTTGTGTTGAAAAAGTGGATCGCCTCTGAAGCCGCGAGGGCAATTCTTGACATCAAGCATATATAAGGGATGATGTGTTTGAGACAGCAGCCGTACACTTTCTGATTCGAGCTAACACTAAGGCAATGCTGTTGAGTTTAAAGTCTGGGCTTTAAGAAAAGCTGGTTTAATTAACGAATTCTGCACAGAACTGTCTTTCCTGACGCTGCACGCAATGCACGACACCCATGTTCATGTAAGTCCATTAGCTAGATTCAAATATTAAGCACACAAGTCCAATCTTCTAACTACTGAATAACAGAAAATACATTCTGGAAGCAGTTCAAACTAGCATAGAGACGAACTTTCGGATGACCGAACAACGAATGATCCATAAAATTCGTCAGATCGCTACATGAGTTTCTTGCATTACTATTTAAAACGATGCAAGATTTCACGTGCCTGACAAGATTGAATACTTACTTGTAGTAGCTTTCAGCCGAAAGTCTATAGAGGCTCATGAAGACAAGTAGGTGAAGACCAATTGAGTAGAAGAATATGAACGTTCGAGCATACCTGGAAATCATGGCAACGATTTTTTCTCAACTTACATCTTACAAACCACATTGTTGGACGTTTTTGAAATAGACACCGAACATGAACTAAAATGTTTACGGTGTCCATTTCATACGTCAAATGACAGTGTGCTACTTAAGACACAACAGACCATGTACAATTGGATGAAACTCCTGTTCGGACAATGCCATGAAAAAAATTCAGATAACCACGGCAAACAACCCAAGAATAAAGTAATCCTTATTGCACCTTGAGACCTGTCGATACTTTACTTAGATCAAAGTGTTGACGCCTTCGACTGTATGACATCCTACTACTCCTCAACAGCAATGGAAAGAAGGCTTACTTGTTGCCCAGAAGAAAGCGTCCGCTGGAAAGCGTTATCTTATCCCGTATGCCAAGTTCCTTATATCGACGTTCTTTTTCCTGTTGAATAGCATATTCAGTATACTCCTATATACGGAAAAGCTTTTGGTTCTATGACTGGTTATCACGGCAAGCTTTTATCATGTTCGTTTTCTAGATACAAGAGCATAGACTTGAATCGTGACAAAGTAGATTTATGTGGTATTTGGTACAAACCAAACTTGAATCTGATTCTCAAACTTTGACTTGAGTTGCATACAAGTGGTATTTCATTCATTGTGGCTCAAAGGGTAAAGTTGAACCTTCTTCGAGAACTGCGTGAAAGGATTGATATCCTCTTCGTACATGTTCTTGTACTTGGATACGATGTCTACACTAACACCTGATTCCAAGTCCTCACCTCGCTGTAACATAAAGAAAACATATGTTAAGCGCTTTTCAAATCATTCCTTTGCATCGTGTACTGTATGCGTGACAATAAGCATCTGCGCCGATAATGTTCTAAAGCACGAGACTAAGTGCACCAAATTTCAGGATTGGTTCATGGAAGTAATGTTCAGCGTAGTAGAAGATGTCTGATTTACCATATTACACACTTTCAACTAATCCAGCAAGCGGTGCAATGCCAGCATCGTCAATAATAGTGAACTCCTCACAAAAGCAAGAGATATAAGAAGTCTAAACTGCAAAGCTCACCGAGATAGCAACCACATGATCGACGACTTCCCAGAAGAACGAAATTATCCAAAACGAACACCTGACAGGTCTTTACTAACCATTATAATGTGGAAAGTAAATTCACAAACTTGAGACACACCTTTTTGCCACGAGGAATAGGTCGTTCCTGCGTATAATCTTGAACATAACGAATCTTCTCATACAGCTTCACATTGTCTGCTTTACTCCTCTCAAGGTCAGCTTCTAAAGCTCGATTTCTCTCCTTAACCAACCTCAACTCCTACGACGGCAACACGAAAGATGGATCAGCAAATCAACACCAAAACAAAAGTCATAATCATAGTAATCTGTTCAAATGTACGGCAAAGGGTGACACTTAAGTGGACACTGAGTACAGCCTGAGAGCTTATAGAACTTGGTAGGAGACGATAAGATATATTACTTGTACACGTTACTGAACACCTAACATGGCTTCAAGGCAAGGGACCCACATGCACGATTATATTTTTTGGTTTAATTTTCAATCATCTGTTTCGAGAAGAACCCACCTCTTCAGCCTCTCTGAGACGCTGTCTGAATCGGTCTCTCTGGCTACAGATGACATCAAGCATTGAGTTGCGCTCTTCATCTGGCAAACTCTGCTTCACCCCACCACCATGCTGAACATGTTCCAAACCACAAATTCAATGAATTTTAGAAAACAAAATCTGAAGGCAGCAATTCCATTGCGCTTGACACATGTCAAAATATAATCTTGGAAGGGCATGGTGACAATATGACCTCAAATAGATCCGTTGGTATTCCTGATTCAGTGGATTCCCAGTCGTCAGCCTTCGCAGTTCGTCTATCCGACGAATTGTATCCCTGAAATGGCAACGGATCTTTATTCAATATGATGATTTTGATTTGCACAAATATGCACCGCAGCGAAATATATAATGTGGTTCAATTGATATTCCGAACGAAATCATCACTTGTAAAAGCAAACCTTTCATAAACTGCTCCCATTCATATTTGACTGGAATGGTAAAAGTGCAATGGAGAAGGAATAAAACAACTGCTGTTCAGCATAAAGGACCCGCTCGACAGTCGATAGCATCTATTATTGTACAAGCAATTACGTACCCTGCAATTCATAGTTTTTCTAAATCCTAGGAAGAGATCTACTGTAAGATTCTGCAGATTTTAAGCGAACGATGGACTAGTTCAAAACTTCCAAATGCAAGGGCAACTTGACAGGTACTCCGGTCCTAAACGAACACGATACTACCATAGGTAGTGTACAGAACGGAGAATCAAGCGAAAAGCAATTTCTTGGTCTCATAAGAACAGTAATATAACAATGACAGCAACAACAATATGTAGCCATCATACTCAAGGTGTTTTTTGTTGCACTATATACCTTCAAAATATCCTCCTCTAACTTTGTAATGAGCTTCTTTTGCTCGTCCACTTTCTCTTCCAACTCTTTCAACTGAGCTTCATATAAAGTCACAGCACTCGTCTTTTCTGAAAGTTGAACCTGAAACCACATTTTTTCAGAGTTAGGCATAAGCCACCAATACAATCTCTACTCTTCTCTACAGGATGGACCCTCTCGTGATTAACAAGTCGACCCTTGGCTTATGTCTCCATGAATTGCACACTAGTACTTAATATACACTACCATTAGCACATACCTTGACTTGTGTTAATTCGTGCTCCATCTTTCGGTTCTTGTCTAGGAGCAAGGTTTCCAGCTTGCCAATATCCTCCCCGCGAGTGGCAATTTCCCAATCTTCTGCCTCAATAGAGTTGTAACCCACTGCCTGAAATGTGACATGCATTAGTACATATCACAATTTATTTGTGTCTTAGTAAGAGTGCACTCAATTCACATCCCATATACCTAGTATCATTAAACTTGATACAATACTAGTTAAGGTATTAAACTTATGATAATCGAAAATATTATTGCCCATCAAGACCAGTAAGGAACATCTGTTGTTTTCTGACTATAAAAATTGAGTCCATTTCCACAGAAGCTCGCTTCACGTAGTAAGGAAAGTGGAGCCAACAAGACGATCTGCTCAAACAGATCTTGAGATTTTTTGACTTAAAATTACCTGCAATATCTTGACTTGCTTTCGAAGATCGTCCACGACTTTCAACGTTGGCCGCTCACTTATTTCTCGTTTAAGGTCTTCAATGGCTCCATCCTGAGAAGGTGCAATAATACAGTTGGGTAATAAGGACCTTAAATCTCTTGGCCACATCTGGCAGTGTAGACAAATTTCCAACCTTTGTTGACGTAAAGAGTCTCAGGTATTTCAACATACTTTTTTGGAATATAAGCGCTTGCAGAGTTTATAACTATCAAATCTGAACACAACTCTTAACACTTTGCTAGAATGGGTAGAAAGGATTTCTATACTTTCAACTCCGGGATGTGCGATTAAAACTGATTTGCCAAGTTTTACATCGCCTGCAAACATCTGCAAATTCATCGATGTCCCAAGAGTCTTTCTTAAATTTCTAAAGGTCATAAGGACTGACCTGTAAAAACCTAAGAAAGTCTAGAAGTTCAACTCGCCTACTTGTTACCAAGACGAAATAGAAAATGACCGACAGGATCGTAAGATAGCATGGACACCTACCTTTTCATGGATGAGATTACTCAGCTTTTTAACCTCAGCAAGATTCTCTTCTCTCTCTGTGGACAGCGTTGCTTCCAACTTGTGAAGTTCCAGATGAAGCTCAGATATTATCTTTTCTTTCACACTTAAAGATGCTTCCAAGCTGCTGCTTGTCTCGCTGTCTAACCTGATAACAGAAGTCCGAAATCAGAATACCACTTCAAGCTACAGGTAAGGTACCGAATCTGTCCCAATAATGGCGCAACATGCATCATCGACGGTTGCTTACTTCTCACGGAATTGCGCTTCTTGGTTGTGAACTGACTGCAATTGAGTTCGAAGTTGGTCCTGTGCATCAGAAACACAACAAGTGTCAACGTGTGGAAATGCTTTAAACTTTATCCCTGATGGATAGAGGAAAACTGTCAAGTCCGACATAGAGATAACAGCAAACCTATCAAGACAATGAGAGAAAGGAAGTAAGAATATTGCGTACTGAGCGCATCAGTACTCGACATAATCACACACAACTAAACTCTTAGCGGGACGATACAATAAGGCACTTTCTTCTTACTTCTGTTGTTGAAAATCAACCTAAGCTACCCCTTTTTTAAGCCGGATGGCGTTGGCCACAGCTTTCCATGGTTTCAGACAATAAGTAGAATAGGAATGAAAATAACCTTCTCTCTTTCAAGACTGATAAGTCGGGCTTCAGCTCGATCCACTTCATCTGTCAGCAGATTCAACTCGGATTGTTTCGCTGCCCGTTCTTCCTCTGTGACATACAAAGGCTTCACTCAACAAGCACTGAAGTTTGTCTAAAGCACATGATCTCAATCAACGCTGGGGAACAAAAGACAGGTGACAGGATGGGTCATATTGTCATCATTCTACACTTCTAAACTGATGACCGCCAAAATATAATACTCCTCTGATTATGAGAGGAAGAACGTTGTAAGATTCCGCTGTAACCACTGCAACATAAACGTGTGACCAAGAACAGACTGGGCACAGATATACCTGATTGAGCACGGAGCTCAAAGAGTTGACTTTGGCCAAATTCATGAAGTCTCTGCATGTTCTGCACACTCTCCTTTGCTGCACGTAGTTGATCCTGTAACGATCTCTCCCTACAGAGAAAAAAAAAGTGGTAAGAGAGTTAACATTGTGATTGACTAACCATCGGCATCTTGTAAACTTTAAGTGAATGAAGTTGCTAAAGCTCCAAGCAATTTCAATCGCATTCGACAAACTGGAGACTCTAACCTTCCTAACTAAACGGTTTGACAAAAGAGGAATATCTCCAACAATTATATCACATCTGGAGGTAAAGAATGATCACCTTTCTTTCAGGACTTCTAAATTCTTCTGATTTTCCTCCGCCAGGCTCCGCTTGTTCATTTCCACTGTTTCTTTCACCTTCTCCTCCATCTGCTCCGAAATTTCCACCCTTTAGCCACGATAAAAACTGCAAAGGTCCCCCTTTAAAGCATGCTAGACGCTACCAGGCATGACAAAGAAATATTTTAGCCAATAAGCTCCAACCTGTTGTTCAAGAAGTCGATTGCGTTCTTCAAGCCTGCGAACAGTTGCCTGCTGGTTCTTGAGATGGGCGGCTTCGGTCCTGAATTCCTCCAGTTCCTGCTTCATCTTTCTATTCTCTATCTCCAGCTCAGCATATTTGGTGGCCAGCTCCTGATATCACCGGAAAGATGTGAGAACTCTGCGCAAAGATACTAGGCCGATATTCTTGCAATTTGTGCGTCTTGTAACTAAATCAAGAAGATTGGAAAACCTAACAGGCATTCTAGCGTGAGTTTGGCAGCTCACATCTGCTGAAATGAGTCCGGGAAGTGGATCTGGAGCCTCGTAGAGCTTTTGGTAAATGTTGAGGAACGCATTCTCTCCGTATTTGGCCCGTTTTGTAAGGTTGTCCACTTCTTCTTGATAGCCCTTCAACAGTGAAGCAAACAGCTTGGTCTTTTCCTCTGGATCAGCCTTTTTAAAATCTGCAGCAGAAAATGATGCTCCGGCTTAGCACATACATGTGTAGATAACTCTGAAATTGCAGTACATGGATTGCATATGTCAACGTCCAAATTATATACTTAAGACTGCCAAAATTTATCCCTTTTCGCTTTTCTATGGGAAACAGCTGATACATACCTCGAGTGCTTTCAGCGAGCTTCCTGCGATTTTTTAAGCTATTTTCCTGATTTTCACCGATTCGAAGGCCTTGCTCATCAAGCTTGCCCTTTTCTCTTTCAAGATCAAATTCTGCGATTGACAAGAGTACAATGGCTTACTGAAGACAAACTAACTGAAGGAAACACGTATAAACTTATAGCTGTATATCTTAAACGAGCTGCAAAAAAGCTGACTGATCGATTACAGTTTTGTGAATATAATGGGTCATCCAGGATTTGCAATGCGCGCACAAGATTGATTCATACACCTTAATCCACAGGGCAATAACTGGAAGAAAAAAAAAGCAATCAACATGCTGGCAGGTTATTAGAGAGTAAAAGTTGCTTATTTGCATAAACAAAGTAACCTTGCAAATTCGGCTAGAGAGAAGTTTCATTTCATGTATCACCTCTCCAGCCTACTGGCAAATTACAGTAAGGAAGTCGGACAGCCCTTCTACCACAACGGAAGTCCAAATCTCCATCCAATTCTTAAATAGACATACATGAGTTATGTCTACAACTGGAAAAAGATGTCTTTAATATTCAAGGCATGTACCAAACTCAGTGGAAGGGAAAATTGTTTGCATTGATATTTCCATGGTCTTTATTGTGACAGATGTTGGTTTGTCCGACCTGTAGTGGCCTCGGTGAATTCAAGTATCGAAAACCTCGTAGGCTTATCACTTCCACTACACCATATTTTTTCGTGCACTAGTTGATCTCGTGGATCTTTCGCGATTATAAATCTAATTAAAACCAACAAGTTGGCTATGACGGCATACTTAGCGTAACGAGTTTGACAGGTCTATTCTCTAGACTGATCTATACTTTCTCTCGCTATCGACTCTTGCTCGACATGGTCGCTGTCGACATGGTAACTTGATCAGAATCGCCCTTGTTATTTCTTTCTGAACCAGAGTTCTGTAGAGCAATTGGCTTAGTTCATAAATCCTCAGAGTTCCGAGTTTCCCATACCTTTCCAGTAATTCAAGATCACCGCGATCGGAGACGGCGTGTTGAAGCCCGGAGTGGGCCGCATTTCCTTCTCCCGCTCCCACGCGCCATCACCACCACTCGTATCTTCCACACCGTCCATCTTCGAGAGTCAGTTCCCTCTGCGTACTTCCAATTCCAATTCTAATTTCGCACCAAGCTCAACCCTGTTCAGCTTCCTTTTCTTCCTCCTTCCTCGTCCCCTATAACGCACCAGTCACTCCTTCTTCGCCGCACCTTTCTTCCCCGACAGATCTACCCGCGTACTGAACCTAGTGCACTGCTACCCATTCAAGAACCACTCCATCTCCTCCACCCTCCACCGATCTGGCAACATTGTATAGTCTTCAAGATCGTGCTCGTCTCGGCAGTCTCAATTGCCTGTCATACATAGCTCGACTCCCGTCCTTGCAGCACAAATAGCGATTGAAATCAGAGATGTGACAGAACAACGTGAGATCTACGAACAATGTGGACACAGAGGAAAATCCTCGTCCCCGAGCCTTGTTTCCTTCCGCCTAAGTCGCCTTCACGCTTGCGCCAAATCGTCCACTTTGATGATGCGTTTTTTAAAGAAATCGTCCATCCATCGTGACAGCTTGATCGTACGGTCCTAACCACGTCCCAGCTTCAAAAAACGCCCACCGTATGTCTTGTTAAAAAGCGCATACAGTAAAGCAAGAAGTGGTATATATTTCTCAGTTCACTTACACTTCCTATCTTTAACAAACCATACATAGAATTTTTAATATATATTTATTTATTTATTTATTTATTTATTTATATGTATATATCTCACCAGCATTACTGCAAAAAATAGAGTCTAGAAATATGTTTTATATGTATGTATAACCAAAAAAGTTAACAATGTAGTTTAACATAATGGAAAAGAGAGAAAACCTCTCGTAACATTCTTTTTATTCCGTAAGCAGTTCATTCGGAGCAACCGATCTACCTCTTCTAAAATATATCAATTATATAAGAAATAACCAGTAATGTGTGTTCTAACTTGGTCTAATAATTTGCAGATAAATATTCTAGTTTCACTTGTTATACCAAATGTCTCTTTTTTACGGTTATCATGAATATTTATATTGACCTCCAAATGATAGTTACAATTTCTACGAAGATATACTGACTCTAATACAAATTATGTGGGAAGTAATTGTGCATAATGCATCGTGAAGTGTTTTTCTTTTCACATTACTTGAGATGATGTTTTCCTCAATTTTGATGTAATACAACAAATGTATGATATAAGCAATCTAAAGATAACATAAAACTCATAAAATAGCTGGATAAAATATTTAACATTGTCTACATTTTATCATTCTCATTATAATTTAATGAATTTCAACCAGGAGAGTCCTTCTCTTTCTACTCAAACTATTTTTTCTAAACTAAAACCATGTCACTTAAGTATATGGGTAACTCTATTTTGGCAGATGAAAACTGTATTTTTTTTCCATGAAATTGATTCAAATGGCTAAACTATCATGGATAAGAATGTATCAAATAATTTACTATTTATGCTCATCATAAAACTAATACTTTATTAAAACTTCAACTTTTTTTTGCAGTGTGTGTTTATGATCACAACCTCTTGTATTTAATTTCATGATTCTATCGTTCAACAATGATGTCATGGTATTTAGATATACACATGTTAGTCATAGTGCATTTTTTTATAAAAATGCAATGAGTCCATGACATATTATTTTTGTCACATTTTATGGCATGGATTGTTTGGGCCATTGCTAATAATTTCCAACCAACAGAAATGTATGTGAACTAAGAAACATCATATGCATTTTGTAAATATCAGTTAAAATTAAAAATTATTCATTTGATAGTTAATGTAATATACAATGCTCTATTGAATCAAGTAGGTAATTGATTAATCTTAATCTACTGATACTGAAATCTGTGTGTGATGTTTGTAATCCGTTATTTAGCTATCTTATATCATACATGCATTCTTATATTACATGATAAACATGAATATGCACATACATTTTTGTGTAGAATGTTCACATTATTTTTGAAGTATGAGATAATAATTGCACTTTTTTTTAATACTTTATTGTTATTTCACAAGTTATGATAGTGTAAACCCTCATCTTTACACATCACATGTAGGAAAAATTGTTAAAAAACATGTCATTTTCTTTAAATTTAGTTGTAAAGTATATGGGAAACTTTAAGTTAAAAACTAAAAAAGTAGTAACTTTATTTAATTTTATGATATATTGTATAAGAGAATTGAAATAATTTGTATTTATTTTGAAGAATTGATAGTTTAGTATGCTTTGAATGGGTAAAATTCTATGTGTTAGCAAGTCTAATTTTCTGTCATGCTACATCATGTAAATCATGGCTCGTTTGAAAATCTTATTTTATTGCAAGAAGGTGTATTTACTTGGTACATTCATGTACATATGATCTAATCATGATTACATAGTTTTCCATATGTGTGAATATATGAACAACAATGGATATACATATTAGTATGACTAGGTGTTCATCTAAAATCAGCCAATATCCGATCATTATGGACGGCTTTTTATATCATGGGAGAATGTGATTATAACATGGTGAATTGCGTTGGTTTGACTTATATTACTTTTCAACCAATACTTTGTATTAGAGACGATATCTATAATGACATGATCTAATCTAAATGGTGAAGTAACGGTAGTATGTCTTACAAACGAAGAATAACTATACTTCAAATACAATGACCAAATTATGTTGGATGTGAGATTATCAATGTCCATCTCACACAACTCATGGAGATAATTATAAATCTTCTTACATGTGTGACCGATAGAAAAGATGAGTGACTCCAACCAACGATTTCAAGTTACATCTTCTAGATATTGGAGAGAATGTGCCATTTCGACTATATAGTTGTGCTTGTCAATATATCCTGTACAGCCATGGCTGTTTGGTTTCGTTCAAACTTCTCGAGGTAATCTTCTCATGCTTTTCCTGTTTCGTTAGTGGTACATGCGATCATATTGCTATTAGAGTTTATTCTGCTAAATTGTCTTGTAGAAGTAGGTTTATCACGGTCTTCGGTAGGAATGTATCTCATACTTGGGGATGAGAGTAATATATCAGACAAAAATTACTGACTCATGTACACTTGACATAATTTATTTCACTTGAAAATGCAGACTTTCGCCACTCCATCACCGTTGTAGCGTAACTTCGGTAGGGCTTAACATGGCCCTTTCTTCTTCATCGTCCTCTCCGGAGGGAAATGAAATACTAAAAAAAAAAAAAAGTGACAAAGTGAAAAACAGTCAAGAACCAGTGAAACTGTCCGTACTAACAAACATGCTACTAGTTACTCTCTGTACACTTCATTATCTTTCACCCTGTTCGAATTGACCTTAGGGTTCTTGGGATACTCACAAGGCGACAGCACGGAAAGTATCAGTTACTATGTACAGATTTGGTGTGAATTTTTACATCGTATAACTTCGGTCTTGTGTGTTGACCCCATTCTTGAAAACTTGTGTTGCAATACTGTTTACCAGCCAATTGGATCCAATTCGCCACGATCCTGCCCACCTAACTTTTGAGTCGGAATGATAACTGAAAACAAACAATAACTTTTTCTTCTTCACAGAAGAAACTGAGCTTCATACCAGTCTTTCCTGTTTACTCTTGCACTCTTATATAAAGGCTCTCTCCATACTCTTGGTGTCATCATCCAGAACCACCGAGTAGTGCCATTTCGAGGACTAGAAAGAACTTTGTCACAGACATGGCAAACTGATGCCTTTCAACAATCGAGTCTCGCATTCGCTACGATATCACGGTGCCTACAATCGTGAGTGATGTCCAAGGACTGAATCTGAACAATTATAAAAGTGGGATACCGAGAAAATTTACCTCCGCCCATCTACTCAGCTATCAAAACAAAATCAGGTGTCGTGTGAATTAACCTCGGTATACATCAAGGCATCCCATCTACCCGTCTATCTCATGGATTTAGTCAATCTTTTTCCAAACTGACGAAGAGCTTGAGACCAGATTCCGAAATATCTTCAGCATGCTCAGCATTTCCATATTCGGAGACGTTGAGACAAACATTCAGAAGCATGCAGTCAAAAAATTTGCACTAAGAAACAACAACAAGACGTACACCTCAGCTCCATCACAGAACACTCGTATAGGTCTTAAGAAGTGACACAGCAGAATCACTCTCCTTCAATACTCAATAAGTTGAACTGTGCAGCAGATAGAGGCTCTTGAAGTCGCGGCCTCAGCTCTCATCCACCTCAACTCTAACCGGCTCATGGAATCCTTTCCTTCTAAAGAAAGACGCCACTTTTCTCCATAGAAAATTAAACCTGGAGTACAAAAACACATTTCTACCACCATCTACAACGAACAAAAAGAGCTGCCTTCCGAAGATTTACTGGTATACGATATCCGGGAACCAGGCCTTCTAAAAGGTCTCAATAGGGGCTTGTAGAGCACGCAAGGCTGACCAACGGTTTACCTTCTCTTCTTACCGGCCTTGGTGTACTTTTTCGACTTGGAGGGACTAACTAACAGGGCAACAAACAATCCTACAACCGACAAAACCAACATCAGGGGACCATATGTCACCCCAAATTTCTGCAGAAAACAACGCACCAGAGTGTTAAATTGGAACATTCCTAGAACGAGTTGATGGCAACCACAAATGCTCTTCAAACCATATAGTGCAAAAACAATTTGGCTTTACGACATGGAAAAATGAAGGAGATAAATGAGAAACTCACCTTGATCTGTATCCAGACGCAGAGAGAAGACATGCACCCACCATATGTAAGGTTAATAAAAAACTCAACAAAAAGAGATAATAAAAATATATGACTACTACCTACAGCAAGCTTGGAGAAGGGTAATCAAACAAGGAAACCACGATACCAGAACAAATTCCTTTTCATAACTAAAATGCGTAACAAAAAATTTGATGTTTCAAACGGAATCCAATTTATCTTACCCATTCGTATCTGTTCTCAGCAGCCTTGTCTGATAGAATGTCCAACTGAGGAAGAGGAGTTGAATAGGCCTCCTGCGATAGAGGAAAGCTGGAAAGATCAATTCAAAAACACCAAAAAAAACACTGTATTTCGTCACCTTTGCATTTGTTATTGAAGACAATTAGAGCTAAAACTACATTCACAAGAATACGAACCTGCAACACAGATTTGGCAGCCATTCTATATTTCACCACCGCGGGAGGTCCAGCAAATGGTCCTTTCACCTTTGCCGTCAGAACAAATGAATGGACCAAGGTGGCCCCTCTGTAGACAGGAAAGAAAGAAGTTAATGTCTGCTTGCTTACATAGGGTGCAGAATGACGCAACGAGCATCAATGTTCATGTCATACGGGATGAGTAGATATTTTCTTACGCATCCAGCTTCTCCCATGCTTGAATCGGATTGCCTTCAACAACGTCAAACAACTCCCCAGGCCAGGTGTCGTCATTCAAAGTTACATCGTACGCTGTCCTGAAATAAGAAAAACCATCAGGCCACCAAACGAAACGTCAGACTCTAGGTCTAAGATTATACACATATGGATCTAAGATAAAATCAAAATCTAAACAAAAAGCTTTCCAATATTTTCAGGTTTATAATCATCAAAGACGGATCACAGATTAGGAACGCTGACAAAGAATGAAACGACTCCTCAAGTTAAAACACATCTATTGTACAGAGTGAGAACTGTGATTCTGCTAGTGGAACCAAACGAGTGATTATAGTCTCCAGCCCCACCAGAAGGTAGCACATCACTGGGAGAGATCAGAACAGAGATACGTTGAAAAAGTTCCAAAAAGTTAAGAATGAGCGTGCAAATGGCCAGCAAAAGCAATCGCAGACGATACGCAGATTAGGTCACTGTGGAGTCAAATGGACCAAGCAAGATTCCAGGCAGTAGATTGATGAATGATATGAACGGAGTGCATAGGATCTCGTGGCGCCTCGCCGCTGATGAACGTCCGGTCCATAATGATCGAAGAAAACTTACACTCTGAGCAGACCTTCCTCATGTCGTCAACTCTAAGAAACCTGATCTATCAAACGTTAAATCTGTCCAGTCCTCACTATCTACAAAAAGGATGTGTGTCTTCTCAGAAGATACAATTCTTAAGCTGCCAAGACCGTCAAGTTCTTGCATAGATGTCGCCCAAAATATTACACCAGGAGATGGTAACCGAAATACATAATAGTTCGAGCCCATCGTTGCCATCCTTTTCGACTAAACCCCAAAAAGTGATTGAGGACAACATCGGAGCTGAATAGCGTGGTCGAAACTCACGACGACAGAGAAACTTATCACAGACGAAAGTCGTGGCTTCTTCACTAGAGTTCACTAAACACACAAAAAGGTTTGGATGTAAACAAAAAGTTGGAAAAACCAAAAGGAAATGGTTCTGCATATTACGAGGTGCCGGCGTTGTGCAAGGAGATGGAGACAGTGATCTTCTCCGTGCCCTTGGCTTTCACAAGGTCCGCTTTCTTATGGACCACCAAAAAAGCGGAGTCCGCAGCGGCAGCTACGCACATCGCTGCTAGCAAAATTGCGCACAGAGCAACATTTCTCCTCGACGCCATGCTGGGATCGATCAATTTCGTGGTCTACCTGTCCCGATGTGTACGAAAAATAAGAGCACACCGTAATAAGAAGCGTAAGATCAGAGAAGCGATCAGAGCATGCGAGGTCGGCAGAAGGGGCTGATTACTTCTGCTGGAGCATCGCGACTGGCTACACCGGTCCTTCCAGTGCGACTGCCGGCCTCATTTGGCCTTAGTGAGGACTGTGAGCGCGCTCCACTTGTTCTAAAAGCACGTATGCAATCAACGAGTGACTGACGCGGCCATCCAAACTGTAGCTCATGTAGATATGTCATTAATCCGCATCAAACATTATTGCATGAGCCATGTTTGATCCCATATTCTAAAAAAGACGGGGCGAAATAGATTAAAGAAAAAAATTCAAACGTTCATTATAAGACGAATGTTTAGTAGTGTCATATTCGCACATATGGTTTGCAAGCCACGGAAAATTCTAATCGTTACTAGTCAGAAATCCAATACAAAGAATATTAGACATATGTTGCCAAAGCAAAAAAAATCTCACTCTAGTATCGCGGATTCACTTCAGATAGATTTTAAAACTAGTGAAATTACGTGACATAAGTGGAATTCTTTTACCATATTGAAATTGATGATATTTAATAATAATTTAAAAAATATGAATATAATAATTTAAAAATCTTGTATTTTCACTTATTTTTTATTAAATTATGTTTTAAATTAACCTTGTATTTTATTTAAAACTATGTAATTTGTTTCATAAATTAACTATTTTCTAGAAAAAAAGTAAAAAATCTTATCCATTACAGAATTATGAAGAAAATTATTTGTAGAATTCCTCATTTTGATCATATTTATGACGCTTTTTTCTATTATTGCAAAATATTAAATAATTATCATAAAATAAATTATTAAACATAATGCTCTAATTTATCACCAAGATTTTTTCAGAATATGAAGATACAATAACTTATACAATGTGAAATGAAATAATTGCAATATAATAAGTGCAAATTTGTAAAGCAATCCTTAAATATATAAAAAAATTAGTTTTACAATAGATTTATGTAAGTAAAAAATTAGAAATATGTTTTGAATATTAATGAATATCTATCCATAAACATAAGTTAATCAATTTATGATAATTTCCGTTTAGATATGATTGAAGAAGATTGTTAGAATCTAGCTCATATTTTGTTTCATTTTGATGAATTCAATTATTATTGATTAAAGCAGACAATTATTTTTATATTTGAGTTTTAAAAATAAAACCCATAAAATAAATAAAAGTCAAAAGCTAAAAGTTTAAATCAAAATCTGCTAACAACTCCTAGTTAGCTGTTTAATCATTTAGCTGATAACTCTAAGAAACTTATTCTTATCTCTTCATGATACAATTAAAGGTTTCTTTGGTTATAGCATTATTGTGATATGGTTAGCCTTAGAGTTACAACAAAGTTTTTTCAAATCATGATCATCATAATATTCAAAATCAAAGATCACGCACCATGAACTCTTAGCATAATTATAATACATGTAGATTTTGCTCATTAATTTTGATTATATGTTGTATCATCTAGCTAAATTTTTTTTAAAAACAAGTCATCTACACTCCAATCTTTCTCATCTACTTCTACATTTTCGCTTCGTGATCCACTGTCGTCAAGGTTACATATGGAAATCAAACTCTTTTGTCTCTAGCAAAATCAAAATACATGTCAAAATGATCATTATAGTTCAAAGTAATCTCCATATTTTCTAAAGTCAATTCATACACTTTTATCACAATGGTTTCTTCAATTGCTATTATGAATAACATGTGTTGATCTAGTGTCAATAATGCAAATGATGTCCAGTATGGGCAACAATGGTTTGGAATGTAGATTAAGTCTAGATTGGACAAGGAAAATATATCTTTATGTGTTTCATTGTCATGCACACTATTTTTTCAGCCCCACCTAAGCAATGTGAGTTCAAATTTGTTTTTTTCATATTTGATAGATATATTCAATTCACTGTGGCGAATCTCCGTATTATGTCAACATTCTCATCTTGACGCATGGTTTATGATATTTTGTCTATGACGAACGAATAGAAAGTAAGCATATGCAGAGATTATGTGTATATTTGATGAGTATGCAAGGAATGATAATGACAGGTGAATAACGAAACAAATCGACATGATATTGTATACACATGATGAGTTTATACATTCAACATGCTTCACACATATTGATAATGGTTGGCTTCATCACGTTGGTTGTTATTGATCTGAGAAAGCCAGATTCTGACTCTCTTCTCACTCTACCGTTCATTCTTGTAAAATTGATGGCTACTCTCCAATTTATAGTAGAAGTGTGAGTGACTGTTTTTTATCCTTAAAATTATTGTAGATCTTTTGATGTTGTTGTTGCGACATTTTTCTTACGTCCTCAGCCGTAAAAGCTCCATTGTACATCATATAATATGCCTTGTCTTGTAGATTATGTATTAAAAAACCACATAGTGTTAAAGAAACATTCAAAGAAGTAAAAAACAAAAAACAACAACATTCAAAGAATGTGGGCAAAGATTTAAATACAAATTGCAGTCAGACAGCAAGGTAAATGTCCAATTTTTTTTTGAACATTAAACATTGCTCTTCACGTACTCAGCTGTAGAAGCTCCATTATCCATCATATCACATGCAGTATCTTTTAGATCTGTATTAAAAAACACATATAATAACATTCAAAAAGGATGGACAGAAATTTAAATACAAACTGCAATCAGATATCTAAATATATCTAGTTTACTTTTTAGCATTAGACATTAAGCTTCACGTCCTTAGCCGTAGAAGCCCCATTGTTCATCATATCAAATGTCTTGTCTTGCATATTTTGTATTACAAAACCATATACTTTTAGAGCAACATTCAAGAAAGGTGGGCAAATATTTAGGTACAAACTGAAGTCAGACAACGAGATAAATATCCAGCTTATTATGGAGCATGAGACACTGATCTTCAAATATTCAACCTTATAAGTACCATTATTCATCATATCAAATGTCTTGTCTTGCAGATTTTGTATAAAAAAACCACATACTTTAAGAGCAACATTTAGGTAAGGTGGGCAAATATTTAGATACAAACTGAAGTCAGACATCAATGCAAATGTGCAGCTTATTTTAAAGCATTAGACATTGCTCTTCACGTACTCAGCCATAGAAGCCACATTGTCCATCATATAAGATGCATTATCTTGTGGATATATATTAAAAAACCACATACAGTAACATTTAGAGAAGGTGAGCAAATATTTAGATACAAATTGCAGTCAGACAGCAAGATAAATATCTAGCTTTATTTTTTAGCATTAAACATTGCTCTTCACGTCCTAAGCCGTAGAAGCCCTATTGTCCATCATATAAGATGCATTATCTTGTAGATCTGTATTAAGAAAACCACATACAGTAACATTCAGAGAAGGTGGGCAAATACTTAGATACAAACTGCAATTAGAAAGCGAGATAAATATCCATCTTATTTTTTAGCATTAGAAATTCATCTTCACGTACTTGACCGTAGAAGCCTCATTGTCCATCATATTATATGCTTTGCCTTGCAGCTTCTGTATTAAAAAACCACATAATGTTCGGCTTATTTTCAAGTATTAGACAAAATGTATGAAACAAATATATTCACTCTGAGAACTATCTCACTTTCTTTTAAATTTGACTTGAAAGCGTTGAATGAATTGGGTATATTATGAAAGTTTAAGGCAAAATCCTTAGGAGCTTATACTACAAATGTTCTAACATTATTGATATCACCACCGACATACTTGTTAATCCTGTTCGAGGTTTTGGAAGAAACATCTTCCTTCACTTCTTTTTCCTTGGAGGCCACATCATTTCTTTACGTCAACAGCCTTCCCTTTTACATACTACAGACATAAGAATGTTCTCAGTTTCAAACATCATGTATAGCTGATTTGATAATATATGTGTCAAACATCATCTGTACTTATCTTTGACATACTGAGTAAATTCATCTGAGTTTTATTTATTTGTTCCAAATTTCTTCCTCCATTGAATTTAGACAAAGTTATATAACACCATCTTAAAACTTTGTCTAATATCAATGTAAATAGGAATGATGATCGTTCCTTGAAAAACTTTTCAGAGTTGTACATGATAATATTGTTTTTGTATAATTTTGTTTTTGTTTTTGAATACATTCTTATGCTTTCATGTTGTGTTCAGGTGTGGATAATTGAACACGGCTTCACGTTAAACTTGTATCAATGTGAATCGATTTTTGTAAAGATAGTGAGGCATGTATAAAGAAGTGGAGTACTATCTATAACAATAACAAAAAAGACAAGACGTTGAATTTGAAGTTGATATCACAACGATCAGATAAATGCCGATGGTATGCTTTGGTGAACAAATTTATGTCTAACATGACAAATGTTGTGTCACATGCTCATGCAGGTGTTGTAAATTGAAACGAAATGAAGTACAGCGTTACTTTGGAGACATCCAGAGTGACGCATCCACAACGGAGCAAAAAAGCAAGGAGAATTCATCAAAATAATTGGAGCCTAAGCGGAAGAACTAACTATTTTTTAAGCGATGCCTTGGAGAGCTTAAAGAGACCAGCAAGCTTTTGCTAGATAGTTTGAAGACTATGAGCTTTAAACCTCTACCCTTAGCGTTTTGGTCCAAGTAAGATCTAAGCAAACACATCTAATAAGTACCACTACTAAACTCCTACACCAGCTACAGAATGCACTTCTTTAATACAAATATCTTCATTAACACTATACAAAGGTCTAACATTCCAACCAAGCTTGTCAACCAATTCTCATGGCCGCTACCTCTCAGCTCCTCATATACTCGTCGATCTCTTCACGAATTCATTGAACACTAACGAAAGGAAAAAAGAGTAATCAACAAATTGAACAAGACGGGCCACACCATCGATGCAATTGACTATCACCCACCAGCATCCGCGATCACCAGCCTGCCAAGTCAACCCTAAGCTGATCTTCAAAATTTGCCGAATCTAAGAAAAAGCCGAGTGCTCGACACCTGGCATGCTATCTCATACCACTACCTCTATCTATAGCCGATGCCACACTTTCCAGTGATTGCAGAGATGTCCCATATCATACGCAAGTAGCCAGCTACTGTAACTGCTCAAACAAACTGCAC